GACAGATGGTATCAATCTATTGGTATTTAAAAAAAAATCCATCACAAATTAACTTATTTAAAATATGGCATGATTTATACAAAATTGTGTTAACAGCGAGTCATCCGATTTCGTAGCCCGATAAAATGCAGTTATCAGTCAGCCGTACGCCTGATTTTTATCGACCTTTAACGTTTTCTGTGATAGGTCAGGTCACTAACATTTCGAGAATGAACTGATTGGGAAAACCAATCAATTTTATATAAACGTATTTATTTAATTTAAAAATTTAATGTATTATAAAAATCTAATATGAAAAGTGGAAAAGTGGCAGTCTAATAACCGTATTAACCACAATTTGAATAAGATTATACATAATTTAAAATTATTTAAATCGGTTAACAACAAAGCCCAATTTAAGTTGTTACTAAGGCTTTTACTGCTAAAATAGACAAGGTCATTGATCATTTTCCGATAAGCGTGGACTCGTTGCATTCTAAATATAAAATTATTCTATTATTTTATGCGGAGGTGTGTTCATATATGAATATGCTTATTATCAGTCTAGAAAAAAATAACTGACGTAAATGAATGGTTTGAATTGTCTAATTTTGAAATAGATACACCTTTTAAAACAATAAAAAGATTAAAGGTGCGTCTATCAATAACATTTTTTATTGTGAAACTAAACACTTTGTGCCATTAGAATAGTTATCATCAATATGTAATTACATATGGCGAATATCATACTTAATTATCATTCTTTTATTGCAACTAGAGTTATGTAAATAATTGAAGAAAATACTTCTTGGATTTACATACATTTTGGAGCCAAAACATTTTATTTATTTCCAGTCTATATACACACTGCAGGTTAGGTAGTTGAGCCAGAAATCACGAGACTGTAAGTTTACTAAAACATCAAAATCTTAGTTAGGTCCCGGTTTCGTGGACTTTGCCCTGCGTATCTTGGCATTAGTCCAACTATTCACAATTACGAACTGTCGCAAGTTAAATATTAAATATTTCCTTGGCAAGTTTTTTATGTTCAATAAACTACGTACAAGGTGGTGGTTATTGAGAGAAATTTTAAAATTTGGCACAAGATTATACATTAAGTGTTAAATAAATGTTATTAGCGCGATTGTTTGAATACCACGTCCTCGTCATTCGAAGTAGACAATTGAAAAGAGGAACTCACGAGGTTGAAAAGTTTGCAAACAAAGAGTGTTTTTGAAATGAAAAAAAATATGATATACGCAAATTTACAATAGTCATCAGGCGTCGCGTCGTGTACATAACCATTTTGCGTAATTTAAAGATATAATTCATTTTTTATGTGATTAACTTTTGTTATTTATGCTATAAAATGACGTCGTAAGAGAAATGTGATGAAAAAAATTTTATTTACCACACTTGGGATTTGTGTTAAGCGTGGTCATTTTTAAATAATAATGATAAAATTATTTTTTATTTATAGTCATTATAGTAAAAAGTTAAAGATTAAAAATCTTACATAATTTTTTAAAAAAACATTAGATATATTAAAAGTTATCTTAATTTTATCGCCAAGAAGTTGGTTAAGATCCAAATCGACCCCGTCCAAACATCTTTTTAACAATTTTTGTTTTTCGAGGATGCAAACAACGTGAACACGCCATGGATTCATGACTAAGTCGCAGTTTTGATACGAGATTTTGACGTACTTTAGTGGTTTACATAAAGTATTTTTATGACCCGAGTGCTAGGAATTCACAAACTGATGTTAAATTATTTAAGTGTTTGTTTTTATGCTGGGATATGATCGCCTCATTTGACTCGTACTCCAAATTATTGTCTACAGGAAAATATGTTTCTACCGGAAACAAATTATATTATTTAAAGGTCTTTAAAAGTCTTGATAAAGTTATTTCCACTCACATATTACATATTTTTTGATTCTGTATACAATGCCGGTTAAGATTAGATTATTACTAAAACTGTATGGGCTTTCTAGTTTAACTTTATCTTATTCCCAATTACCACAACTTATTACGTACCCATCTGTATGATGAATGTACCTATATCTAAAGCTCTTAATTGAAAAGAAGACAAAATTGAAGACATTAAAGCTTCAAAACTCATAAGTACAACCTGCTATCACAAAATCAATCTACTTTTTTCTGTTTCTGCCTGATAATGCTATCATTTGTTTACAGGACAAACAAATGTGCATAACGTTCAACAAAAGAGAAATAAGAACAAATCGTTTTGATCGCTTGTTAAGTTTCCATTGCAATGATAATGGAACCCATTTCTTTTAAATAATATATACCGATGAAACCCGCAGAAAAAGGTTGTAAATGTGGATACAAAATAAATTACTGTAAATGCCTATAGTCAATAGTCAATGTGCCTAAAAGGTTAAATTAGCCTTAAGGTATTATAGTATTTCGAATGGGTCTTTTATTATGGAAGGCTATCTTTTGCCGCAATCCTGTGTGGCCTGACACAGGATTGCATATACTCATACAAAGAAATTGCTTAGAGTAGCATAAATAGCTTATAAAATCTTTGGCATAGATTTATTTTTAAGTTCACTTTTAAAGTATAATAAACAATATCAGATAATTGTCGTACATCTAAGGAACCGGAAGTCGAAGACGTGTCATTCATCAGCCTTGCTATTAGGCTATCACACCCCAGCATCATGTTAATAAACTCAATTTGATAGAATATAAATTTTTAACCAACATGGAGAATTCGACTAACACTTTAACACCATCTGCTTGCTTGGACCAAGAGAATGACATACTCCGTAAAGATAAAACAGGTACAGCTTCGATGTTTTGTGCAACAAAGTCTCAAATGTAGGTTCTGTCTAATATCTGATTAAATCAGAAATTGAAGGACCAACACACCGCAAATGAAAGAGCTTTTAAACATGAATTAGTGCGAGTGTGTTAATACAATGACTCTTTTCAAGCTCCTTCAAAATTTCTGAAGCAAAAAATGTCGAAATTACATCACAGATACCTCTCCAAGATTTAACAATTTTCTACAGTTAATGTAGAAACTAGAATACTGTAGAATAGTATTTAATTCTTATGCATAATCAAATTAAAATGAAAGAGCTCAATTCTGACAATTCTGATCTTTTTGGAAGCATCAACAATGATTCAGTGACTTTAAACACTGTCACAAGCACTTAAAATTATCTTATTATAACCAAGTCATCGACATCACAGACTGTTACCCGAATAGGAGGAATAATATCGGAACAATAACAAAAATACGCAAAAAACAAGATAAGTGAAACGAAAGAAAATTATGTTACATTAACAAAATTACAAAGAACGAACATTCGGTTGTTAACTTTTTATGTTTAACAACTTGGTCTGATTTGAAATGACTCATAGCCTTAATCATTTTCTGTTCTTGCTATTACAAATAGTGAAACTCAGTTTCGCTTGCAAAACAGGGACGAGTCAGTTATCAAAACGTAATTTGAGTATTCATCGACAATGAACGTTTCTTAAGGAAAAATATTATCAGTACTAAAATGACATATCAATAGAATAGAAAACAATCACACCATCTATAGTATTAGTAATGTTAAATGCAACAAAAAATAACAATTTAGTTCACTCTGTAAATTTTTATCATTTCCTATCATCTTCGTTTAAATATTGACACTACATTACATTGTATCCTAGATTAATACTTCAGGCGACTGATACCAAATGTCGCCCGTTTAATCAACATCGACGAGACTACATCATTACATCACATTTATCTGATTATTTTCAAGTATCTTAAACAATGCCTAAATTCTACAAAATGTGAAAATTGCTCGAACAATCAGCAAATAGGAATTTCATTACCAATGATCGCGCAATAATTGATTTATACCAAAACAAAGTAAATGACCTAGATAAATGAATTTACAAATGGAACCTTCAATTAGGAGTCAGTCGAGCCTCTAACGGCAACCAATTGGAAGGCAGTACACATCACCAGTTTCCGGATTAAAGGCCGGACCACGTGGTACTCTTTACAATTGTTCCCAACCCCGAGGTCAAGAGGTTAAACGTGCCAAATGTTGAAATTAAGCTGTTTATCAAGGCTTAATTTTAAACATTTCCGATTGAACGCTCTCGAAAACTTTTTGTATCGTTAATAATGAAGCTATAACGATGTTTATTTATTGTTCCCTTCGATTATATTCTACATCGTGGGAAACACCTGATGGAAATAAACAAAATTGTTGAAATCGCAAATAAAGTCAATATTTTGATGGATATTTCGATATATACTTTTTTCTCATAGAATCATTTTGAATCTTTAAGAATAATTACATTTAATAATTTCATTTCCGTTATAATGATGACCCTAAAGACTAATGTGGCGAATAAGCGATAGCGATAGATAGGTAAATAGTCGATATTAAAATTTTTAATCGCTTTGAACTATGTACTTTAAAACTGCGTACAAACTACGTCAATGGAGTTAGCATAAATATATCTTCATGCGAAACAAAATCCACTCCGAATACTATGATTTATTAAACTCATTAAAACTCCAATAACAATATATTACTATTATAACACATTTTCACAACAAATAAACATTTTGGTTAAAATTTAGAACAAACTAACTTAACCAAATCATTCTGTATATCAAATGTTGTGAACACGAAATGAAAGTGCACACTCAAGTGTGATAGTTGATATTACTCTAGTTCAACAGGAAGTAACATTTTATTTTCTGCACGATTCACTCTCTAATACTAAAAATTAATACTTTCTTCTTAAAAGTTTTCTACAAAAACAATGTACACGGAAAATGATCGACTTTACGACCTCTATAAAACTTTTACTTTGCCACTTCCTAATTTAAAAAACGCCTATTTCACAATAAACACATAGTGTTATGAAACAGGACATTACAATAATATTAATTATTAGCTACGACAACAATCATTCAAAAAAAAAGCTCCAATACAACTAAAAACAGCCAAACAAAAGCGCGCTTAAACGTACCCACACTTCCATTGGTAGTTCCCAGGTTAGCTATGCAATTAAAACAAACATGCATAAAGTTAATTTTGGAAGAGCTTAACGATCCGTATGCGAGCAAACGAGAATCTACATCTTTACTTACTAATACAAAAACCGGTATAAAGTAGCCGTTCATCTTTTGAAAAAACGCTTTCCTACAGAGACGAATCTCCATTTATAGTTCTGTTAGTAACGCGTGTAATAATGTTCAACTTTATTTAACGACTTCACGTTTAAAGCCTCGCGTGAAGACTGGGCTAATAAAAACAATGAAGTGTGTTCGAGCTCTGCGAATGAAAATTGTCGGCTATTTGCCCTTCCTGAAGTGATGATATCGAATCATTATACTTAATGGAAGTCCTTATGAATGTCACGTAAGCCACGTCATTATCTGTTATTTGCGAATTAAATTGCTGCTTTAAATTTGAGTTTTTTTTTACATTTTACCAAAATATCGTTTTAATTATTTCGCTCTCTGCATCCATCAATTAAGCTAATTTACGGTAACAATACTAATTAGGTAATAACTATAAATTTAGACATGCTAATAGCACTAAATTGAACTTACTACGCTAACAAGATTTTATTAGATATTGTAGCCAAATTAAAAACATATCTGTGACGTTAACGGAAACGTAAACGCATATATATTTTCGTAAAATAATTTTCAACAGCATATGATTTACAAACTCTGTTTTAAATGGGAATGATTTTTGTAGGGATAAGAGAAGTTTTGAAACTTATTTGGTATGATGATATTTATTGTACTGTATAATCTTCGATTTGAGAGCTTTTAACAAAATTTAATGTAATTTTCCTTATTTACATAATCTATTATGATACTAAAGTATAAGTGGATGTTAATAAGTTGGAATACAAATAGAACATAATATATACAGCGAAAACAAAATAAGAGTATAGTAACTATGTATATAAAAAGATGTTCAAAACAACACCAAAAATTACATTAAAATAATTATACTAAGTTTGGGAATATAAGCACGTCTGGCAACAAGCCTACTTGATCATTGTGTTAATGCAAATATACTTCTAATGTTTTAAACTAAATGAGAATAACGAAAAGCATACAAAACTGATTTGAACTTAACTGAAAGTTCAAACAAAGGTTTGAACTTAACTGAAAGCAATAAATACATTATTCATTGTTCATACTGGCGTCAATGCAAATGTTTTGCAATGTGGTTCTATTTCAAGTACCAACTCCACCTCTGCAACATTCAATGCTTCAGAAAATAAAACTTGCACATTTAAATTCAAAATTCTTGCCTATATATCTGCCTACGAACTAAAAATAGTCAACAGAAACATCATCGCATCCGACGTTTCTGCCTTTTTTTAAAAGCTTTTGATTGATTCAAGAATTTCTTTGCGAGTACCCGAAACGAAATACTACCATATTATTTTCGATAGAAAGGCAAAAATCATTCATTATGATTATAATTTCGACTGACTGGTACTATATTGTCTTAAATTGGTTGACGTAAAAGATAAACTAATTAATTTTTATTTTAATTAAGTATTTTATTAATATAATTATCTCTCTATCCAAGGCTTCAAATTGTATAGTAGTTAAGGCTCTCCTGACCTAGTGTCTATTTACTGTCTGTTTTATCTACTGTTTACAGCAATCTTTAAACAACTCGATGAATAAGTTCAAATAAATCTTAGGAAACTTATAGGGGATATCGGAAACCAAAGAATGTGCTTATGTTTAAAGAAAACTTTGTTTTTGAATCACGTTTTGTCGTAGTTAAACCTTTCAATGGCCGCAAAGTCATTAAACCATATTTCGCTTAAGGCAATAAAGACATGCTAAAGATTGTTATAAAAACGAAACTCACGGATTTCTATTCTGTTGTATTGTTTCTGTTAGTATGTATACCCAGACGAAATACTTTATTTGATGTTTTAATATTAACAGTATAAACGTCTAATGATTGATTCAGTCAAATTTACACTCATCGTAGTGAGTAATGTTCAAAACCAGTACCTAAAGCTGTAGAAAAATCCAGATGATACAATGACAGAAGCCAATTATTGACCTGATTTTGGTATAATCCCGAAGCCAGAGATATAAGCTATCTTGAGACACAGAAATGGCATGTTTGGGAAAATCACGACTTTTCCAAATAGTTGGTAAAAATTGCAAAATTATCGGGTTGGAGAAGACGACCATAAATATGATTATTGTGGACAAAGCTGTTAATAAGACTTCTCCGAAAGGTTTTCAATGTCTATTTTGTTAATGATCAACTGGCACGGCAGCTAGAGTATAATCCCCTAAAAAATGCAAGAACAACTGCGAAGATGGTAAAAGCTAAAGATGTTCGGTCACTGGAAAACTTACGGAATGTCGGACAACAAGAAGATGTCGCATGATCAAGCGATATAGAAGATTGAGCTTCAAGTGGTACGATTACTGACAGGTCTAATTTTTTTTTGTAGATGGACCGAGTGGCATGGGATACGACATAATCGACGACGTCCTGAGTTTGTTTTTACTGGAGACGATGTGCAGTTAATTGTTTGGGAAGAAGCGTCGTTGTCGCCTATTTTCGCAATTTTTATTTTGAGGATTGCCGAAATCTTGACGAAATGTTTGACCAAGTTAGATCATCATTAAATCATATAGTTTCCCAATTATTTATTACGACATTTATGCTCGACTAACAGTTCAGTTTACGAAGATAAGAAGATTTTAAAGTCAATTGACAGAGAATGTAAAACGTACTGTAGAGTCAACAAGTATCACATCACATCGAAGACGTTAAATGACCTTCATTACCACCTTAATATAAATTGCAAGACAAAACGGTAGCTGTTATCATATTACTTCCAGATATGGATTTGGGCGGTGAGATTTGCAATGGTATAAAGATGAGTGTTTCAAAGATAGATACCAATTAGATCTCGGGTTACTGGCCGATGTACGTAAAGCAATATTGTGAGGATATATTGAAGGTTAAAGTACATGTAAAGGATACTATAATGCCGAGATCGACGATCAGATTTCAATTTCTATGTAACTTGCATGTACATTGACAATAAACAAAGCTCAAGGACAAACTTTTTCAAAGATAATATTTATTTTAAACATCTTGCTTTGTACATGCTTTTGGAAAGGTTGGTCGATATGAAGATTTACATTTTTACGTAAGATCCAAGAAAACAATAATGATCATCGAGCTTTATACCCAGGAAAACGTTTGATAGGCAACTGCTTTAATGCATAGATTGGAAAACGATATTAATATCCAGGAATAACGACGCCAACAACAAATGTTGAAGAACTCTCCAGTATACTACAATATTATATTTCTAGTATACATTCTAGAAAGTTGTTCTATTGCTAATTCTATTAATAGTGATTGATAAGAAAATAACAGAGATTTTCTATTCAGAAGAGTAAATTCAAGCGCGTTAAATACTTTTTAAAGATGAAAAGGAATTACTGATGAATTAACATCGTGATTATATTTGTATTTTAAACATAATGAATACACATCATCTATTTTATTTTCTCCTAAGAAGTGTTTAAAGTAAACTTCATCAGTGATGCAAAGGCTCTAACTCAGATATCTAATCTAATATGTTTTATCGCAGAATCCTAGTCAGGTAATGTAACAATATACATCACTGATATACATCAGAATTTTCAAGACATCGCTGAATTAAGAGAACAGTATGACAATGTTTTATCCTTGATCAAATAAATTATGGCAGCTGACTGAATAATGCAAATTGGTGAATTGGTAGCTAGCATTATAAACCAACTCTTACATCAATATTGAAGTCGCCCCAGCAGACTAATTGCTCCGCATATGAACGAAAAAATGGTGGAGAGGCTATCAATAAGGCTACCGAAATTAGCAACAATAATGAAGTTGGAGTTGTAAATATCACCTGCAAATAGTAAAGCAACTTATTCAGGTCGCATTTAATGATCACTTAGGTTGAAATTAAGAAACTCAAAAAGCAGAAAAATTATTAAGGAATACAACAATGCCAGCCTCATCTCATCTGGATTACTTACAGCAACAAAGTGTGCAGGTAAAGATCAGAAACTTAAATAACAACGAATCGCAGGTAACACTGATAGACTTTTCACGTTAAGCAGATCTGAAGGGAAAGATGTTGAGCCCTTCAATTTATCAACCAGTCGGTCAATGAGCTGAATGTAACAAGCACCTTTAAAGGTAAACAAATTTGTATTGTTTTTTTCTAGGTATGTCTGCCTTTGCAGTCTCTTTACACCTAATTTCTATACGCTGTACTACAATGTTAATGCTCAACTAGATCTATAAATATTATTAATAATTCAGAAAGTGCAAAACATTGAAAAGCAATGTCAAAATTTCACTAGAACAGTTTTCTTTGAGGGATCGTTTTAGGTCTCCTATTATTTTGGCAATGGAATTCTATCGGTTCTAATGTTTCAAAATAATCAAAAATTGACTGCGTGCTGTAATGATATAATATTGTACAATCGAGGTCAAATATTGGTGTCGATAACTTACAGCCAACACTGTAGTTATGTGTAACCTACTTTATCTTATATTTAATACAAATTATATTTTTATGTATTTCATTTATATTAAATAACAATTTTTAAAGAAACCCATTTCAACAAAATACTAATAAAACATTAATTTGAAACAGTTTAAAACGAATTGCAATTTGATTTACACCACACCATTATGGTTTGAAAATGTAGAGTAGAAAACAATAGCTTTTAAACAAATTGTTTAAAACATAAAAACCATATAAGGAACCAATTATACCTACAACCGTATAAGATTATAAAAGAAACAAAATTAATTAACATAAAAGGCATGTTTATTAGTAAACTAATAAAGTTAGTAGTTATTTTTCCACTAAAATAATAAGTTTTCAAAACTTCCACTTCCCTACAAGCTGATGAAATTCAAAAAATTGAAAAGGAATAAATAAGAATAAGTAACAAAGAGAGATGATAGAATAAAATCTAACTAATCTTTAACTAGTAGAATAGGTATAATTAATAAAATAATATGTACAATAAAAATCGCTCTAAATAATCAACAAAATTAAAACAAAACGCTTTTAACATCATAATAAATGAATCGTGACTATGACGTATAAATCTTTAAGTCATCCTGCAAACATCCATAAAATACGTAATTCGCGAGAACATTATACAACTCTAAGTAAAAAATATTTTGTTGAATTGAAAACATAACAAATATATTAAAAAATCATTTCCACGAAGATAAAACAACACAATAAAATACCTGAATTCTACAAATTAATTAGTCCAATGGCTTTTTTATTATTGTCTTTTTATTTTAAGTATTGTGTCATAAAACCTTTCTATGATTCAATTAATATGAAATGATTACTAATGTTAATACTTACAGTGGAGTGTCTCCAATAATTGATGAGTTGCCTGATGTCATGGCTGGGTGCCAAAAGCAGAAAATCCCTCCACTCATCATAACTAATATTGAGACTTCCATCTTGGTCCATTCTGAAAACACGAAAAATGACTGTTGAACAAGTTACAACTTAAAGTTTAGTCGAAACTGTGTCAACTGCAAATGGGTTGTGGCAAGCTCTATAGCAAACTTCCTACATATTTGGATATTATGTAACTGATAAACCGGGCATTATTGAATGAGAAATAAGAATCCACGAAATATTTTCCCGAGGCGCCTTATCTAAGTAACAAAATTTAATCCAAAATTATAACGAAAAAGAATGGATCTTATCTCTCAATTATCGGGCATGATTTATTCAGGATTTGATAATATTATTTACATTTTATGGTATATTACATTAAAATGGTTTGTTTCGTCGAATTATAGTGATATTTATAATGAATAAATTTAGGTTAAGATGTGACGAGAAAAGAATTGGGTTTAGTTTAATGATATACCTATAAAATTAGCTAAAAAGGTTACTTTGCTAATGCCAAAAACGTTATTTATCTCAAACAAAACACATCATAATTTTGTCGTTTAATACTATAGCAATCAATCTACAAATATGCTAGGGCTTTTTATAATTGCATACCTTATCCTATGATCAAATACCGAATCAGTTGTGTCGATTCTCAGAGAAGTAGTTAATATAGAACAAAAACACAATAAAATGAATTTTATTATTTTATGTGTAGTTAGTATGTGAAATATACAAGGAGCGTATGAAAGTAGATTATTGCGGATAAATACAAATTAAGCTTTATTACCAACTAGTAACGCGAGATATTTTAAATACAAAGATAAGAATTTTATTTTTGATTTATCATAAGCTATAATCACATGATAATTCCAATAAAACCTTTATAATAAAAATCGTTTTAGATTTACATCTCAAATAAATAAGGTATGTCACAGCATCAGCAATAGTCACAACTCCCACGTATGAATTACGAGATCTAAATAACCATAAATGTATGCCAAATGCCCTAACATGTAACTATGTGAGGTTGACGTTTAAAATTAGATCAGAAAAATTGTACTTTTATCATTGTGAAGCTGTTATAGTAGTTAGATATGTTTGAATTATGACTAAACAGGTTTACAACGCCTCACTATGATAGTGCAATTATTCACATAATTTCAAATGCAATTTCCACTAGACACACGTTAGACATTATAACTTATAATTCAAGGTAACCATACTAAGAAAAAAATAGCCAGGTGAACTTTGAGACTTTACATTCTACAAATTACAGTTGGAGTGTGAATGGAAAATTAAGGAAAAATTTATTGGAATTAATAAACTAAGCGAGTTATGAATATAACATAAAACCGCTAATATATTTTTTATTAATGCAACATTTCAAAAATAGAAACAGCTGGATCTATAATAATGTTACATTATCACTTTGATTTAACGATATTTAATTTTATGACTTGGACAATCTTAATGTGTGAACAAAACATACATGTTATATTGAAATTGCTTAAATAAATGGAATTTATTTAATTCATATTATTTTTTTTTTCAAAACAACCTGTAAAAATAGAGGGAGCCTTTGCAAAGTCGTTATTTTCTTTCCTATCTCATAGTCTATGAAACAACAGTATACAGAAACTGAAAGATTCTGTATACGTCATGAGTTAATATAAAATATTTTAAAAATTTAACTATTGGTACAATATGAAAATAAAAAAAAAACAGTCATGTTTTCTAGAAAACAACGTCATTTTTTGCAACAAACACGTAAACACGCATTGTTTAATTGTAGGAAATAATGCGGCGGCTGTAAACGGTATAAACAAATTAATATATAAAAAATTTAAACAAATAAACAGGTTTTATTGATGACTTTGTATAAAAAAAATTTCATCTGGAGGATAAAATCGAATATCCTTGACACAATGACGCCTTTTGTTCTTGACCTGGTTTGACGTAGGGTTTCTCAAATAAACGTTTCCACTGCTTATAAAGCTTAAGCTTAAAGCAGATTAAAATAAGAGGTGGTAATAAGAAATTATTATATTACGTCCCAGACTTATACCAAGAATTATCCGAAGGCCAGTTTTATGTCTGACAACATTTGCAGATGTTAATCTTTTAAATCTTATTTTTAATTTAAAAAGATTGATGAAGAGTTTAACAAATAAAATAAATTTTTGTATTTTTGGAAAATTTTTGGAATTAACTCTCAATTATATTAGAAAAATCATCGATTTTTTTTGTAAAAACTGTCTAGTTAACATGAACTTGACTTCTAACATTATAGACGCAGTTAATAAAAGTACCAAATTGGTCTCAGAGCAACTTATTAACCAGCCTTTACATTATTAAATATTCTTTGGTAATCATTTGTTCGAATTTTTGCAGCACAAGATCAAACTTGTAAATTACCACAAATTTAAAAATAATTCAAGAATCTTTGTAACCTTTGTGAGAACTCCCTCTGTGCTTTTCAACTTAATTCTAACATCGCTAATCTCGTTTATTGAATAGGCTGTAAACCGATGTTCACAAAATTATTTCATCACAGAACGAAAGAGCACATTAAATATAATAACCGATAAAAGGAAAACGCAGTCACAAGAAAACTGACTTTGATGCATATTATTTCTTTTATTTTAAATAAAATTCTAGAGTGCCTTTGAGTCTTCAGGTACTTCATCTTCAAAATTACCTTTTGGTTCAGTAATCGCATCATCACTCGGTACATTCATGTTTCATTTTTGAGAATTTTCCTTTAGATTTGGAAGAAGACTTATCATACAAATCAAACATATCATTTTTCAGTTGCCAATTTTGAGATATTATCTGCATAATCACCACGTTTACCACGTTTTTTAGATTTTTTTTATAATCTTTAACTGAAAAAGACATAATTGTTGATATTTTTTTCAAGTTTTTGGGTTATGGTGAGTCATTCGTTAATTTGGCGTTTAGCTACAGATTAGGGTGGTCAACAATTCGAAGCATTATTAATGAAGTTTGTGCCGAAATTTATGGTCGAAACATAGATAACGATTTTTGTACAAAATCAATCTACCTAAACTGCATGTAAACAAGCACGTTGTGATGGAAAAACCACCAAACAGTGTTGATTTTGAGGATTTATGGTAAAAAATAGCGACATAGTAATTTTCAAAAATTCAACAGTAAGAAGAACTGAAAATACCTGGATCAAAAAGATTGCTTGGAAGTAATATTTTAATGCATCATGAATTGTAGAGGATGAAGGTTTTCCTCTAAGTATAAATGCTTTCATATCCTGGAGTGCAACTTCGATACAGTAACATTAATATTATACAAAAATTACAATTACCAACATAGTCGACCTACAATGTAGCAAAACAAGCCTTTGATCAACTTCGTAAAAAGTTTAGGATATTTTTCAAGAAATTAAATGATATTCCTAAAAAGAATGGTAATGTTTTTGGCAACCTGATGACTGGAACAAACAAAAACATGACAGCCATTAAGATTAATGTGGGGGACAATTGTACTTGTGATACAAAGAATATTGAAAATAGGTACTCAGCTTGAAGGACTTGTTCCTTGCCAAAATGAACGGGTTCAGAGTGATAGAAGACAATTTCAATAATATGTACTGTTGTTAGAAAAAATTACCTACAAAACTTAAATTCAATATTACACGGTTTTGATATAACATGATTTAAAAATAATGAATTTTATTTTCGTTCAATAAGGGGAATTCCTAACTGGAAATTTCAAGGAGAGCGAGCTCCAGCAGATGTAGAGGTTGCCCAAAAATGTATACTGGATATACCACAAATTAGTGAAGAGGGAGAAAATTCAGCAGATCAAATTTTGAATGCCGCAGAGTCAGCTTTGTACTGGAAGAAACTTTTATTTCAAAAATTGAGAAGCAAGCACCAGGTTATAAACTTTACATAAATCGTGTTATAGTACCCTTCACATGTGTAGTAATCTATCCAGAAATTTTGTAGTAAATAAAAAGGGCTAGATGACGCAAAATTTGTTTGAATACTGCTTTTCTTCATTAAAATGTTTTCAAAACTAGCGTGTGATCGTTTATGTTAGAGACATGTTAATTTGCTCACGAAATTCTCATTAAAATTTATTTCTTTAGATTTATCAAAAACCAAGCGTTAAAATTAATTAATAATTTTCTTAATACCCAAATTCCGCAATAAACAGGAATTTCATCATAATGTTGTATTTCATACTTTTGTTTTTGATTAAAAATTTGAAGTTAACTACTTTCTCATTTGTATGTTTTATTCGAACGAAATTTCAGCTATCATAAAATTTTACACCTTAAGACTTGATTTGGATATAACACGGTACACATTGCCTTGATATACTATTTCAAAGTTTCGTTAACACGGTTTCGAGATAGCACGGTACAAATTAACTGGGTTATGCCACTTAAACTTGACTTTACAGAAAAGCATCAAATCGGAAAAAATCACCAAAATCATATAACTAGAAAAATTGTATTTATTACAGAAAACAAAATATCTGGTAACAAAACTTGAATAGCTAACCATTTCTTTTGGAAGACTGTGTAGCGTAATTAACAAGACGTTCTGAAGTACATCAAAAAGCGTTACATCGTAAAATAAAAAATAAATAAATCCCAATTTAAAAACAAGATGTAGCATAAATAAGACAAAAAATACATTTTTGAAGTTTCATGATTGCAGGTATGATACAGTCAGTTGAGTTTGAAGAATGTAACGAGCGCTATGAACTTAGCAAAACTAAGTTATTCTGCTCAGATGTGTTTCAAGGCTTCAAATCACTCCACGATTCGCACTGGTCGAGTGGCAGGTGAAGATAACCTACCTTTAATGGTTGTTACCAAGTTATCAACCTTATTACAATACAGTCCTGACATTCATCCATCCTAGAACGTTATACAGGGTGTATCTAAATTGATGCGAAANAACCTACCTTTAATGGTTGTTGCCAAGTTATCAACCTTATTATAACACAGTCCTCACATTCATCCATCCTAGAACGTTATACAGGGTGTATCTAAGTTGATGCGAAAGATTTTAAGGGGTGATTTTTCTCCTCCAAGTTATAGCCCTCTAAAGTTAAGGGTAAAAATTTGCAACTTTCTTATCTCTTGACATTTTACAACTAACAAATTGTTAGTTTGATCACAAAAAATAAAATAATGCTGAGATCAATTTGACATAACTTTATTTCTTTGACTAATAATAACCAATCTCTGAATTAATTCACCTGAGCCTGTGTATTATTTTATTTTTTTGTGTTCAAACTAACAATTTTAGGAGAAAATGCCAAGAGACAAAAAAGTTGTGTATTGAATCCCACTATTTAAATCAAGGTTTTAAATAGAAAAATGTAGTCGTATTAAAAAGTTCTAATGCAAAGTATTATGGGGTTGATTGTCTCAGCTTCTTGTAAAAACATATTAGGGTTATAAAAATCGTCAAAAAATGTCACCTTATTAGTAATAGTTATCTGCCAAATTTCATCCTTCCAAATTCCTCCATAGTGGATTTATTAAAGAAAAACATTTTTTCCCCTAATTTTAGAGGGAGTAAGTTGGAGGAGAAGTGGTTTTGACCAAAAAATTATATGAAAGACCCCCTTAATTTTCGCTGAAAAATCACCCCTTAAAATCTTTCGCATCAATTTCTGTACAAGAACAGAAAAAGAAATACTATCCAAATAAGGAGAGCATCAAAACAGGAACTTTGGCAATAGTTATAGAATCATAACATGATGAGGAGTTGAAAAAACTTTGTTCAAGAACTAAGTGGGTGTTTGATGGTAGCTTTTGTCATTGTTTCTATAAACAATCTTTTGAGGGACTTGATAGCAATGAGTGGCAAAGAAAATATTTGCACAACGGTGATTTGATTCACTTAATGGAAAACAATTTCAATCATTTACAATAATTTTTTCTATAAATGTGTTTTGAAATTTCCTCTACACAAAAATACTATAATTGTGGGGCAATAGCAAAAGAATTTATCGAATGGTTAATAAAGAAACTGTGTAATTAATTACAATTCAATACTAGGGATGTCAGTTAAGTAGGAATGTTATTTATAAAATACTATAATAGTAGCATATAAAGTATATATACATATCGCCACGTCATTTAGTTAAATCATTAATAATATAAAATTCATTAAATCGTTTAAAATTGATTGAAATTATACTTTGAAATTAAATGAACAAATTTTCGAATGAATGGGTTTTAAATCGAAACAAAAGTTATGCTGTTGTAATAGAAAGGTTAGAAGTAAAAAAGAAAATAACCTTGAACCTAATTCAGCATAGCAACAGAGTTACAGCCATTAACAAAAATGTAATAGCGATTTTCACGATAAAAACATTAAAAAATGTTTCAATAATAACTTAATTAAACCATCTCCGCGAAATTTTTATAGATAAATTCATATCATATCAATAATAAAAAACGCTCTCAAAATAAATTTTATTAAAGAAAGCAAAATAATTATAGATAAACCTTATCGAGCCTCAAAAAGTAAATGGCTGGATATATAAATAATTCATGAATTAAAAAAAAGATTAAATAAAAGTTATCGAAACGAACAGAAAGCAACTGGTTCGCGACCGATCGAACGTCTCCAACATCTGGACGACCTTGCGCCAGAACCGGCGACGCTGTGACGTAACGGCGCGTGGCGTTGGAATGGCCAATAGCGACGCTCCGACGGACACACCTTCCGACGTCATGGATCGATGGTGTTCCGTGAGGCGGAAGGTCATCACGCTCACCAAAGCCGCCAGATGGATTAGTGGATAACAGGAAACAAACTACACTACAATTCGCACAACAGAAACAATTCAATAATTCATAAGCTAAAATGATATTGATCCGTATCATCAGAAAAAAAAAATCAAAATAACAGGAAGTTGCTTAAAAACATTGTTTCAAAAGTTCTAATAACTTAATCATTTTAAATTTCAACTAATTTTAATTAGACAATCATTTTTTCTTTTTAAACCATATGATATTGAAATGTGAAAATATACCTTTGCAATAAATTGGTAGCCTCCATCTTCTCAAGCGGTATTCCCAGCTCATTAAAGGCCTTGCACAGTTCATCCAAGTCGATGATGCCTGAAACAACGGAAGTGGAACAACTTTAATTAATTTAAAAGATAATTTAACGGTTATTAAAGATAATAGTTTCTTTGTAATAAGGCGGATGTAATTAAAGTTTAGTCGATAATGTATGGACCGTGATAACGCTATTATTTCAGAAGCGATAAGGTCAATAGAAACACGGAAATATTCAAGTATGAATAGAGAAATAAATTTTAACCTAACTCAACTTATAAATCATAAATCAATTTTGAATTTAATACAAATGATCTAATATATAGTCTTAAAAATTCTTATTGTAGAAGACTGCATCACATATTCTCAGCAATATGGTTTTTGGACAAATAAAAATTCTTCCTTTAGTAAAACTAATATATGTTAATTGAAATATTAAAATTATTCATTTATTATTCAATTATTTTATTTCATTATGTAATAGTATTAACTGGAATGTCATTAAGTGGATGACCTAGTAATTATAATGCTTCCCTAGTATGTAATTTGTCTATCTGCAATTGATTCGCAAGAATGAAATTTCAATAAATGTAATTTTAATTCCGTATCTTATACCTACTAATCATTAATAAGAGTGCCAATTCTACTTTTTAAAGTCTTAAATTTGTACAAAATTTCTTTGATTATGTAATTGCATTAACAACTTTTTTAGAGTTTCTGATATTCGTTAAGCATTCATTTAGATCATCATTTATGCTGTGGTGAATAAATGAAAGATATATAGAACAGATAATGAAACATGTTATTTACTACAAAGAATAAGTGATGGTTAACAAAGAAATGCGTACATTGTACTTTGTCTCATACAGTCCATTTTTAGTTATGCAATTCTGTCTTAGGTTGCTAGTGTTATATGTATTGTAATAACATAGGAGTATTTGTTTTGCAAAAATTGATTTTTAGACCTATTTATATGATATAAATAACATTACACCCAACAACTACTCTTTCAACATGCTGATTTATTCACTGTGTACCAACTTTAGAGTAATGAAGTTCGAACATTGGATTATGGGTACAGATTTAGGGTGAACATTGGAAGGCCTTTCCATGGAAAGCTTTTAAGCAACATCGGCCATCATTTTAGAGGTATGGTTTTTACAATATAACAGTTCAAAATAGCGTTCATTTAATGTCAAAAGTTAATTTTTTATTAATTTTTACCCGATAAAGATTTAAAAAAACAACTTTAAGTTTCTTGTGCTAAAAACGCCGAAAACATGTTCATTGAACTCTTTTTAGAGTTACTTTTGATACCATTTGTATTTAGCTGGATAATATTCGGTTCAGATAGTATCTCGTCTTTAATTGTTGTGCTTACAAATATCGCAATTGCTCACGCTATTCCTCTGGCTGGTCTCTCCTGCTTTGTAGCCCTATATCTTAAAGTTTATTTCAGTTTTAGAAGTGTTTTGGCAACAAGCAGGATGTATATTATTTGTCCTTATGATATTAGTATTTTAGAACAGTTTATAGTTTTCTTGTTGTTATTTCTATTTTTTTTTCTTTCCGAATAGTTGTACAATTTCTTTGGCCTTTTGCGCTAGATTGCTTACTACTTCTTACACATATTACAATTGTGTTGATGATTTCTATCGTAATTGTTCCAATGATTTCTGAGTTCCAAAGCTGCTGTTTTAATTTTTCTTTTGTGTATTTCGTTATTGTTCTTTTTCTTTCTTCCTTCTCAAACATTTTGTTTCACCTAACGCAGTTGGGGTTATTATTATTGTCAACATAGCTATTTTCTTTTCTATCATCTTACAGTTGTTAGGGTTTTTAGCACATTTAATTGAGGATGATATATGCTCGCAGCCACAGTTCGTAATTTCAATTTCCCGTTTCAATTTATCTCCACGTGACCAAAATTTTGGCATTCGGTTAATATCGAGAGGCCGCAGTCGTTCGTTAAGTTTTGACTATCAGCACGAGAAACAAATCGCACCGAAAGATTCTTTTTTCCTTTCATACGTATTACTTCACTTATTGGGTATACCCCTATTTGTTAGGGTCTCTTTGGACTTCTTGGAAAATGGTGTCTTTCTAGTACAACTAGGATTTTACCCGATTTTAGGTAAACCACTGCATAGTAATCGTTCTTTTAAAGGAGGCTTTCTCATCATTGATTTCTAAAACTTGATCGAAAGGAATTTGTTGAAACTAATTTTAATTTTGCAACAAAATTTCAATTTTCTCCATGCACTTTTTCATGAATTGTTTGAAATATGTTTTAAGGAGACCAACAATCATGTAACAAGTGATTGTTACAAGGGCATTGGTTTGACTGTTAGCGTCAAATTGGCGTGTAAACCGTTAAATTTACGTATAATTTACTGCTATACCGAAAGTAGAAAATTTTCTAGCCATGACAGTAACTTTTGCTAGCAGTCCATTACTATGGCAATAGACATGTTTGTTCAAATCATTACAACGTTGCAAGTTCTCAAGCAAAAATAATGAAGAACAAAAATTGTTTGGATTCGTTTAACAGAAATGGTGAAGGTATCAAAAATCATCAGGATCTGCAATATCACCATTAAGACTTAGTTACTCAAATAATTGTAGTTTTAATTGTGTGTAATGTTGCAAAGGGCTGCTACAAAATCAAATATTCTATTTGTGCAGCTTACTAATACAGTATAAACATCAAACAGTACTCTTCGTGGATCTACACGCAATGTTATTATGATATTTTCAAGTAAATCGTTGCAAATAATTGCACCTCTAAACGCCGTTTCTCCAGCTTCAATTTTTTGTCGCCAATTCAATCCTGGTAGTTTTTAAAATTTTCTGTTATTCTAAGGTTTCTCTTTAACGTGTGCAACGTTGCATAGTTTTTACATCGACACACGAAAGCCAAACATTTATAACAATGTAAGTAAGTTTAATCGTGCAATAACTAAAAATTATATACACACAACTATACTGTGTCATACACAAAATACTAACAGATAACTAACGACTGAAATCATAATCTTGAGGATGTATGGTAGCATCGGAGAATGTAGCAGCTCCGAACAGTAGTAAATACAATTTACTTGATAAAATAATTATTCGGGAGACGATCTTTTTATAAATATATAAAAATAAAATAAAAATATATAAAAAGAAACTACTTTACTTTCTCTCGAATAATTATTCTATCAATTAAATCAATTACAATCGATTAATTTCTTTTATTTATTGTTATAATACAATTTACTACTAGAAATTATTCTGTTTTTACCTTTAAAGTTTTTCTGGGAGTTTCAATACAGATCAATGTGTTTTTTTTTTTGGAAAAACTAACAGCTAGCAGCAAAATTTGATTGGCAGTAATTTGTATTATTCCCCATATTTAGTCGTGCATACCTATAATTGAGTAAGAAGCGCTCCTACAATTTTATGTACATACGGTATGTTGTATCTTCCTACATCGCAGCATAGTTATCATACATGTAAGGTACCCCAATAACCGTATGGATCATTGCAAACGAAAATTCCTCTATGAACCAGAACAATTTCTCCATGTCAATAAAGAATATAACAAAAGCGGGTTTTACTGCAGTTACAACTAATCAAAATCCACATAGCTTAATTTCGCTTCCAATTTAGAGTAAAGTCTAGGAAATCAACAGTCTGAATGTTATTTATATATTAGCGCTCAAAGAAATCAAGCCAGGAAAGTACCAGGACTTCTGATGCCATGATTCGACGGTATCAACCCAGAATTCCTAATTAATAGCAGAAAATACCAGATTTGGCCAGATTTTTCACTGATATAATCTCAAAACTACATCTGCATTCATTGATCTAACGGATGCCTACAACATTGTATGGAGCGAAGGAATGATCTGTAAGTTCCTCCGTGTTATCCTATGTAAATCAACTGCTCGCCTGCGCTGATTAATATAAAATTCCGAGTTATGGGATCCAATATGAGCTCACAAAAAAAACTTAAGAGCAGCCACAAGGGTTGGTGCTCGCATTGCTCCTTTTTAACCTAAACATATATTGCCAACATGCCAGAAACAAGGTAGCTTTGCACTTTAATTTTTATTTAGATTTAGTTTATTGCATTCATGGCAACACCATGAAATCTTTACTAATTAATGCAGTAGCATCAATTTATATTATTACTGATTTACCACAGATTTACTAGTCATTATGTTAATCGGGTATAGTGATAGAACTATAAATCTGACCATATAATATCTACATTTGCTCTAACGTCACCATTATCAAGATTTACAAAATTAGTATCTTAAGAATTCATACCTCTAGTTGCGTAACTTAGGAGAAGCTTAGAAGAAGATGAAATCATATGTGAAGAATATGTCAACCAATGACCGGGAATCTGTGGAATTACCTTTTAAACTGTTATATTTAATAGTGCCAGTTACCTAGAAACCTATACACAGAAAAAATAGTGATGTTCATACCCCTTAGATACCCGTAGAAGCGCTCATATCTCAAAATATAATTCGTAACTTAATCAAGTCATTTAAAATCCCCAACATCCTTAATGGTTGTTCTACTATGATAAAAATTAACTGTATTATTGCTGCGTATACAACGTTATACAACCCAAGCTTAGTTTTTGTGAAGTACAGATCTTAGACAGATATTTTGACGCGAAACTTTTTATAGAAGATTATAGCAATTGCTTTTTTGCATCCTAGCAAAAAAATGACTTTAAATGCAACTCAATGGAAAGTATTACCTTGATGAATTAAAAAAGATTGAACTTTAACAGACAACTGCATGTTACACCTACATTTCATAATGTAATGTTTTATTTAAAATCAATTAGAATTTATTAAAACAATCAAACAAAGCAGAAAAGTAATTCATATTATCACTATTTGTCTAACATGTTAATTTTTTCTTATATAATCGATTAATTACAACAAAACACAACACAAAATCTTTGCTAAAATTCCACTTTCATAAACAATACGTATATGTTAATATGTTAATTTACTACGTCACAATCAATGTGGAATTATACACTCTAAAACAAAAAATATTTATGTAAAACAAAAACAATCTGCCATCGATTAGCGAAAATATGATAATTATTAACTCAGAATAGATGAAAAGTTTGACCTGAAATCGACTTAGCATCATATTAATTAGTATGAATGTGTAAATTTAATTATAATGTTCACTTATAGCTTTTCACGTATGGTGAACATAATACATCCAGTATTAAGTGGTCTTTTGATAAGACGATGTGTTATTAAAAAAAGGTAAAAATAACCAATTTGGTTTTATCTATTTTACCTCTTCCGCTTGATAACATCAATTTCATCTAATAAAAGTATCAGTCGCACTAGATAATCGATTAAATTGTTTGATAAAGGATATATTGTTTTATTACCGAGAATTCGATTGATTCCATTTAAACTGTTTAAATAACAGGAAATCGGTCATTTTTAGTGCGTTGTATAGACAACCACAACAACTTATCAAATGCGCCGAATAACATCCTTGAGATTTAAGCATTAAACAACTTCCACTACTAATAAGTAGAGAGAAATTCCTTTCTGCTTAATCATACAGATAATTTAATATATAATGATGACAATAATAACAAGACACAGAGTGTTAAGAAAATATTTACAACATTAAACATATATAGGAAGATTTCATTTTATTACAGTTAAAACAACACGACTTTTTCGTTTTATTTAGAACACATACATTATCAAACTTATCTGAAAACGTATGGTACTCTGCCCCATTCAAATAAAAGTAAGTTGAGATTGTGCTGAAAAGCAAAGAAAAATTATAATCAACCGAAAGGATTTAATTACGATTTCAACCAACATTAATAATTTACATTTTAATGTATTTTATAAAAACGAAAACAGAAAATTGACTACAGTTCAGAAAAAAGTATTATAAGTACACTTACCATCTTTATTTTTATCTAAACTAGAAAAGTGTTGCTTCAAATTCTTCTCATGTTCGCGAACATAGTTCATAAAATCCGCGAGGAAAATATCACCCGACTTAGTCGGTTTGATTTGTTGAAGAAATCTCTGAAATCAAAAAGAACAAAGAACATTTAATGACTCAAACATGACTCATATTGCATAAAATTAATGAATGAAAGGTCTATATAATCCACCCCTTTTTGTTAATTTTGTAACTAACTATCGTGGGTGCACAAATATTAAACGATAAGAAAAACCGTTCAATATTGTCATAAAGGAAGTGACATCGCGCTTTCACGGTTCTACGCACACAAGAGCGTGACGTCAACCTTGAATGTCAAAGACCTATAAATAATATTACGATCATTGTGGTGACGTCAACCGTTCTTCGAAATTGGATGATCTCATGAAAAGTTACAGAGAAAACTACATAGAAAACGTGCTAAAAGTAGTAACTAGGAAATGAAATTTTGTTATACTGAAGGTGTAATAAAATGCATCTCAACAAATATTAGAATAATCAAAAAATTTTACAATTTCGGTTTCAAAAAAATAAAAATAAATGAAAAATAAAATTATAAAAATATAATTCTACCGACGCGACGTTATCAATTTTATAAAGGAGTTTTGCTTATGTAAATAGCACAGTGCGTTGTTGGCATAATCAAATGAAAATAAAAAGATTGAATGCCGACTATTGTGTCTACGAATAAAGTCGTTAATATACCACTTTTAAAGAGATTAATTGTTGTGAAAACTATATATATACAAGATATGACTAACAATGTTTTGAAAATTAAAAGGATTTTCTAAAAATGTTGTTTAGAAAAGTTAATGTGTTTCAATACAATTTACACTGATATTCCTCGTACACTGTAGACATACAGGTCTTTTATATTCAAATCATAATTATGTTGCATGTGGTTATTTCAATAATTCAACAAACATCCCATATTTCCCAAGACACAGGTTTGTGAACTACTCGTCTATTCATGTGTTTTTGAACGAGTTGGTTGGCTAACTATTTGACAAGTTGTGATCTGTTTGGCATGTTTGACTTGTCTCTATAACTTTAGTATAGAATATATTTATTAACAATATACAGGCTGGTTCAGTTTTTAATCGGGAAACTTTACTAGGACATACTACTTGCCAAAATAGCACAAGTTTTTTATATAAACGTAAGGTCGCAACTCATTTCTTTCGAGCTATGACCTGTCAAAGTTGAACCAATGATTTACATTTTGTTTTGTATTTCTGCTGTAAGTAAACCCTTGAATTTGAAACTTTGTACGTATTTACTACTGGTTAAGATGTTATTTTCAAGCATACCTTAAACTTCCCTAGCGCCCTCTAAGGGGATAAAATTCACCACCCCCTTTATTTTTATTATAAGAAGTTTTTAACGCTACGGAATATTAACATACAAAAGTATGGGTTGTAAAGCTCATTCTTTATTGGTACTTTTTTGTCTCTTTAGTATTTTCCTTATAGTTAATAGTTTCCGTGTAAAAAAATAAAATATCGTGTCATGTACCATTATGTGCTGCCATGTTTAGCAAAATTATTCTAATAGTTGGCTCTGAAAACTTGTAAGTTTCATTTACGGTGAATCCTCATAATTGTTGCTGATTATTAATATTTTTTGACTGTTATTAAACAAGAGTATCAATTTTTTTAATATTGTTTAAAACAACGTAATTTGTTCAGACAGACATTCATCTTATTTACGGTTTTTCTTATGAAAATCACAATTAATTAGTGTTATTTAGTTAGTACTAGATCCTAGTAAGTGCACAACTTCCATAGCCAGCTATAAAGAAAAATTTTCTTATAATAATAACAGCCCTTTATAGTACAATGTAGCATATTTTATTTTTTGAACCATCCTGTATATTCGACAGCTTGTAAAAGTGTTGGCGAATTTTAATTATTGTCAGTTATAGTTTTATTTTGACTTTGCGCCTCTATTACTTTATGCAGATAAAATAAAGGCGCGACATCCAGTCTGGAACAAATACCAGTACCATCTTTTTCGATTGGACGGAACTGCGGGGAGAGCATGTTTAATTCTGTTACTTTTTAATTTACAAGTTGTTTAAATCGCTCTAAAAAAATTGGAGAGACATAACTTTGAAAAACTGATAACGGGATTTGACAAACGCAATATATTTGACATATTTTGGATATAACCGCATTCTACTAAACCGCGATTTTCCGTGAAGCTATGGAATATCGCGAAAATAAATTGTGCTCTTCATTAAGAATTATCAGGTTACAATCAGGCTACCATCTGTTCAAAATTGAAATTTGAAAGATGGAGCGGTGGCGAATATATCGATCTCTAAAATTAGGGGCCTTGACTTTTGGCACAGATAGTATGCAACTGCAAATAGTCGCATTTTGGAAGCGGTCGACCTTAAACGTGTTTACCCTATGAAAACTTTAAAAATCAAATATGATTCCACTATTTTATTAAAACGTTGTAATTTTTTGCACTACCCAGACACTTTTTGCACTACCCATTTATCACAACTATACATAGAAATTGATGTAATTGATAATAATAATGCAGATAAAGAAGGTGAAACATTCACGATGAAAATTAAAGCTGTTTATCTTAAAACTATACGGGTTTCTTTTTAAAGTTGATACCTCATAATTCAAACTGCATACTTTAAATTCGTTCTCCTTACGTTGTATATTTTCCCAACGTCATAAAGTAATAATAGGTCATTAAAGCAATGTTGTTACATTATTAAAGCAAAAAGAAAATGTAACAGAAAAATATTTTAAATGAAAATATATAAATAAATGGAGCGTGAGCTGTTGAAATTAATTATTTTTATACAAGAGTGATGTAAATTTTTATACAGTGTGTCCATAAAGTAGTGGATGGTGATAAGTATGGTGATAAAATCATTATAAACGGTTTATGGAAAAATCCCTGAAACGTGTCTAAAGATTTAAATTTTTTAATGTAGATTTTAAATCTTTTCCACTATTTTTAAATGAATTGAATGACGTCATCGATATTTTTTGAAATGACAATCCGTCATTTTTATTACGGAATTTGAAAGAGGATTTTTTTCTGAATCTAGTACAATCAATATTAATACAGTAAAACCTCAATATAACGGACCTCGTTATAATTGACTTATATTATTTAAATTAATTATTTTAAATAATGTAAAATTTTTTAATTTGAAATAACAAAATAAAATTTATTTCCGCTACGTATAAAAATTTTAAATATTTTTAAGTAATATTATTAATATAATATGTTTAATAGATAAATGTACTGTTATCTATTTAAATATAAACCGATGAACGTCAATTATCGATCGAATCCGACATTCCGGGTATAATCCGAGTTTCTCTATGCGATGTTCTGTATTAAGAATAAAACTCCGGGTATTCCCAGAGTTGTCTATTCGAAGGCAACGGTCGTGAATAGCTGTCCGAATTAATATATAAGTTAAAATTTTTCATCAAGCGGTTTAAAGTAAAAAGTTTTAAAAAGTCGTTATAAGTCGTTCACGTTTAAAATATGGACAATCGAAAGCGAATTAATTTAACAATAAATCAAAAACTCGAAATAATAAAACAGTTGGAGTCTGGAGTGTCCGTTTCGCGAATATGCGAGCAATATTAGATTCGAAAAGAAACGGTTTCGGACATTAAAAAAAACAAACACAAACTAAACAAATTTAATTTAGAGGTAACAAAGGTTTTTTATGAGTTTCGCACTTTTACTGGTTAGTAAAAAAATTTTTGTATTATATAATAATAATACGTCTCTTTATTAACATGTTTCGCCTGTCCTAGCAGGCATCTTCAGAATAGAGAGTAACGTACAAGTTGAAAATAAAATTTTGGAACAGCGGAAACTATTATATTGTTAAACTAATGGCGAAATTTTTAAAAATCACAAATGGGCAGATTTTAGAGATAAAACATTTTTATCTACGACTGCTTGGCTAAGTCATCATTACCGCACTCCTTTGAGGTGATTTGAGTTACGTAATGAAGTTCATTACCGCACTGGTTTCATTACGTAACGCATTTTTAGCCTAATCAGAACAGACTTAATTTATTGAAACGAGCAACAATACAAAAGAAAAAGTGCTATCTACTTACAGAGAAACAATACTATTTATTATAAACATTAATTGCTTTGTTTTTACATTTCGAAACACTTATTCCAGATGAGATGAGTAAACATGTTGTTGAAACTGACAATTCAAAATTGTCAACAATCATTTCAAAATATTTTTATAAATGTCAAATAGACTTTTTTAAAGAAATTGATTTTTTAGTAATTTTTAGCAGTCGTAGATAAAATGCTGTATATCACCCGTGGGCTAGAGCATAATTACAGTACTCGTGTGATTACACGACTCGGTCTACGACCTCGTCGTGCAATTCTCCACGCTCGTGCAATAATTATTTTTCTAGCCCACTTGTAATATAAATAACTATTACAATCAGTCATGGCAACGTGTCGAAAATGTCTCGAAAATGTTTTACTAACCAGTAAAAGTGCAAAACTCACAAAAAACCTTTGTTACCTCTAAATTAAAGAAAAAACTGGTTAAAAAAATGGACTACAACATCAACTTCGACTACATAAACACAAATTTAGTTTAATGTGTCATGTAGATGGGAAAATGAATCCCATAAAATTGGCACATGAAACTTCACTTGAAGAAGCGTTATTAAAGTGCGAGCAATTGAACTTAAATCTGCTGCAATTAAATTAGCTAATCATATGAACATAATTTCATTCAAAGCAAGTGATGGATGGCTCTGGCATTTTCGCAAAAGACATGGAATTTTTAATAAGCGAATTTACGGCGAAGCTATTAGTGCCCCAAAAGAAGATATTGAACCTTTCCGACAAAAATTAATAAAACGGATAAATCTCGAAATGTTATTGCAATCCCAAATTTATAATGCTGATGAAACTAGTCTGTTATGATGTGCTTTGCCTGAAAATACCCAAGCTTTTAGATATGGAACATCGAGAAGTGGTAGAAAAATCGGAAAGGAAAGAATATCAGCACTGCTTTGTGCTAACGCTGATGGATCGCATAGACTGACACCTGTCATAGTTGGAAAATCTCGTAAACCCAGAGTTGAAGACATAATGAATACTCTTCCCGTTTCGTATTGTAATTCGCAAAAGGCGTGGTTCACAGCAAATATATTCAAAGATTGGTTTTTTAAAGAATTTATACCTGCACTCAGGAAATTTCAAGAGGAGAAGTTTGAAATACCACCAGATGATGTAAAATTTTTATTGCTTTTAGACAACGCACCTGCTCATCCATCTGAAAATATTTTACGATCCGACGATGGTAAATTTAATTGTATGTTTTTGCCCAAAAATACAACATCGATAATTCAGCCCATGGACAAGAGAATAATTTTAGCCATATAGGCGAAAATTTTTAGACGAGGTAATGGCTGTGTTGGAGGACGAAGAAAGCGAAAAAGGCACACGAGGACAACATTGGAAAATTTAAAAAAGTATAAGTTAAAAACAACAATTTTTAATTTCGCGTCTGCATGGAAGGAAGTAGAAGCCCAAACATTAGAAAATGAGTGGAAGAATCTATTTGACGACCAACATGAAGATATTGATTTGGAAAGATTAGAGGTTCCTGATTTTTGTACTGCCATACAAAATAGCGTTGGAGGAGAAGTAACCGAAGAAGATATATTATAATGACTAGAAATGGATGAAGGTGATCCTGGTTATCATATTATGACGGAATGTGAAATAGCTGATGAAGTGATGATGGTGGACAACGAGCTTGAAATCGATGATAGCGAGGAAAATGAAATTGTCTACGATTTGATCGCATCTCGACGATTTAATAACATTTATAGATGATTCATCAAATAAAAAAATGCAATTGTATTATGCACATTTCTGTAATTTTAGGGAGGTAATCATAAAAGAACAAGAAACTTCAAAAGTGCAAACAAAACATGATTGTTTTTTTTAAAAAAGCATTGCCAACCACAAACGCTTCGACTTCCAGTACATAATATCATTTTACAACCAGAGTATGCACATATCAGATGTAAAGTTATTCGTTTAACTAATATGTATAGGTATATAAATAAAAAAATTATAAGAAATATGTTCAATCATTTTATATTTGATAGCAAACAATTGACGATAAATTTTTGAATTCAAATTCCATCTTTTGCAATTAATGTCTGGATGTCATAAAACGAAATATAACCAAGTTTTTCGTCAAATGTCCTCAAAGTATCAAAGTTAACGCAAGAAGTTTGTTAACTGTTACAGGTAAAGTGGTCTTTCTGAGCAATATACAACAAAAGTTGATTAAGATAAAATGTTTGCTATGTTAAATTATAGCGATATGCCGAATTTTATTAATTTAGGATATAGAAGCAAAATGTGCAGATTTTTAAATCATAAGATTAACAAAACATTTTGAGTCTTCAGGATTTACTTATACCGACTTGAACTGTCCTTTGCATCCATTGCGTTCGTTACTGCAACAATCGACCCCGCATCATGTTCATCTAAAAGCTTTTTTTCCTTCCTTTTATTTTTCACATTGCCCGTTTCCAAAAATTTTTTAACAACTCTTTTAATTGTTTTTTTATCTACTAAAAATCAAAATTTTTCCTCAAATTGCCTTAAAACTGCATTGCAACTAATGTTCTTCAATCCATAGCACTGCACTATAAATATTTTATGTTGTAATGTAAACATGATAAATTAATATTTGACAATAGGCTAAAGCTAAACTATCAAATGATAATTGTTAGTTCACTCAGATCATTTGTTTTTATTGTAAAACGGAATATTAGAAAAAGATTTTCAAGAAAAATCTTATTTTTTCTTTTATATGCTAAATTAATAAAATTTGGCATATCGCTATAATTTAACATAACAAACATTTTTTATCTTAATCAACTTTTGTTGTACATTACAAGAAAGTCCACTTTACCTGCAACTTCTTGCGTTAACTTTGGTACTTTGAGGATATTTGACGTAAAACTTGGTTACAATTGCAAAAGATGGAATTTGATTTCAAAAATTTATCGTCAATTATACCTTACGGGGACACAATCCGGGGACACACTGTATACCTCGTTTTGGTCTTGGAATAACCCTCAATTGTAGTAAGTATTAAAGTTTCATATTTGCCTTATAACAGAAAAAACATGTTCGGGACTGTTTTTCTATATAACGGATTTTTGGCTATAACGGACACCCCCTCCCCCGTTAGTCCGTTATATCAAGATTTTACTACATAAGGAAATTACATACTCTATATAAGAAAATTTTCGAGAAAAATTACTTTAAAGATTAACTACGTCAAATTTGTTGATATGATAACTATGGTAACCAATTATTTTAAACAATTTAGTAATTGTCAAAAAGTGATTTAGTAAAGCTATTTGAAGTGTGGTGGCGCGCCATTTTGTTGGAATAACTGCCGTTGGAATAGAATTGGGTCAACAGCTGCCTCCAGTTAAGGTTTTGTCAAAAAAGTAAGGACCCAGGACAGTATCCTGGGTCCGCGTATTACTTCGCTCCACACATTAATCCATTGCGAATATTGGGTGTGCGACTTTTTTGCCCAATGTGGATTTTGGGCAGCCCAATACCGACAATTTTGTCTATACCTGTATGTTAACCGTTACAGGTACCGTCCACTCAATGTAAATGATCCCTCTTCGGAAAAATCGTTTTTCTGCCCAGTTATTTTGTCCAGCCAAAACCACGTTTTGATGAACCTGCACCGAAACATTTGGTCGGCCAGACTTTGAAAAATCTCGTAGGTGCCCATACTTTTTAAATTTAGTCACAGCTTTACCATACTTTGGCTAATGAGTTGGCGATCAGGTTATGTTCCATTAAAGATGTCAACTACTTACTGAATCAGTTTTTGACACTGTAGAAATTATCAACAAATTTGAAGTAATTATTTTTCTCGAAAATTTTCTTATGTAACCAATATTAATATTGACTGTACTAGATTCAGAAAAAAATCCTCTTTCATATTCCGTAAAAAAATTGCAAAAAATGTAAATCTTTAGACCCCTTTCAGGGATTTTTCCATAAACCATTTATAATGATTTTATCGCCTATATCCGCTACTTTACAGACACACTGTATAATTTATGTAATTAGTTTATGTGATTTTACTTTTAGTTCAACTTCGTTTATGCCAATTATAAAATAATAAAAACTATTACAACTTTCAAACCGCAACAACAACTTTTTGTTACTTCAAAAACCAACTGAATTTTTTCCATTAGATGTAGTTTTAAAACTAAAACAAGTAATTTCCAGGAAAATAAACATAACCTAGAATTAAATAAAATTTATTTATTAAAGATATTTACGTTATATCTTCATGATCTATAAAGTATCACCATATTTTTTATGTTTTAAATAGAAAAAATGTTATCTCTTAGTAAACATGATTTTAAACTGTGATTTCAATGTAAATTTTTGCAAATTTACCATGTATTTTTAGCACAGTCACAATACACTGACATAATTGAAGCCAGTAGAAACTAAGTAAGGTCACAGCGTTGGAAACGCTCCAAAAATGTTTAAACACAATTTTCCAATAAATAACCATTCCCGGGTAATAATCAACCGGATAACCATCAGGGAATTCCAAGAATTTCTAACCTACAAATTTCAACAGACAACGTGTACATTTATCAGACGTTCTACTTAAGTAGATACATGCGACTTCAATGTAATCTCGTGATGATAAAGATTGTTATCCATTATTTTTATTATTTTGTAAACGCACAAAAATTTTGTACTTTAACCCGTATAAAAATGAATCAAGAATGTAAAGAAAAGTGTGTCACTGTCATAGAAGCCTAATTATTTGCTTGACATTGACTGAAAAACGTCTTGATTCTCACACCTACCTCCGCATATCGATGGTGAAGGCCGAATTCTTTAAGGGCAAGGGTCAAATCTTCGATGTCTATTTTTCCATCACCGCTTTTGTCGAGTCGTACGAAGAGTTTCTCAAAACGTTCCTCGTCCTCTTTAACTAACTCGTGCAAATAATGAGGTGGATGCTGTAGTAATGGATCGTCCTCGTGAAGTTTTCCCCTCATGGGCATTCTAACAAACACTCACAATTACCAATTGGTAAATTATTAACACGTAACTATATTAACAGTACGAAATATCTAAGGAAAAGTTCCTTCCTTCCTGCCTTCTTTAGAACGCGTTCCGTTTGATTCCGTTCGACCGCAATGCGCTAAGCACAGCGGTTTGACAGCTAAATCCGAAAGTACGAGTGGGGCCATCTGTGAATTCCCCGTGAAAACAGTTTAAAATGAAGGATTTTAAAAAATCTTTGGATTTATTGAAAAAAAATCGTTATTAGTGAAATCCAATTGTTGATTAATTTATCGGTGGGTACTGATAAGGAAATGTGGACGTCCCCGTGCACACGTGGGCATATTTGAGATAATAACCGCGGCTGTAACTGAGCTACTGATAAAACAAGACCGTTTGCAAAGTAAATATAATAGATAAATTCATTAAAAAAATGTTTAATTCCAAAAAGATTAATTTAATTTATAACAAAAATATTTTCTATTTTAATCTTACTTGAATATATTTGGTTAACTAATAACAATAATATCAATAGTGGTCATATTCAAAAGATTCTAAGTGCCAAAGAAATTAAACTGACAATGAGATATTGCATAGAACATGTCGAAAACATAAAAAAAATAAAAAACTTATTTGAAATAGTTTTATTTAGTACAGAAAACACGATCATATGGATTACATACATAGTTATAAATAAAAATTTACATGAAAAACACCAACTTAAACATGACGACTGGTAGAAGGTTCTAAGTCCCAAGGGTAAGAAAACATAAGAAGGTTTTTTTTTATGATTATATTTCAATGGAATGTAGTCTATCATGTATTTTAGATTCTTAAGCTTCTCTGGTAAAATACGGTTTGTGCAGTGGAGGTCGGAAACCACTGCATGAGAAATGCCATTTGCCCTTTTTCCTTTTTTTAGAACATCACAAGTTATTCATGTTTATAAATCAGAAAGGTTTTCTTGGTTTTTACTGAGATTTCTTGCCCTTGTTCAATTTTAATTCAGATTACTTATGAAACTTGTAATTTAATTGTATTTAGATATTCATCTGCCATGTTCTGAAAATTCTTGAAATTGTTTCTTTGATTATAAACTCATCTTTCTTATACTTTCGAGGGTGTAAGTTTTTACGACGCGTTTTATTTTGTCTATTATGCAAAATCTCTATCGCAAGTGAGATAGGAGGGCCACTTACCAGAAAGTTTTGCTCGACTTTTTTGTAGATACCTTTAGAAACTAGGTAAATGAGCAACATTAAAATAATGTTATTCTTGTTTTGCCCAATACAGTTATCACTCCATATAACCAGTTTTCTTCTTTTAGGAAAATTTGGATGGAAGAAGTCTTTCAGCCCACAAGATGCTATGTCATTTCCACCCCTCCCAATAATAGATTCATCCCATATACACATAAACGCATCATCTGTATCAGACAAATGAACCCCGAAGTCAAAACAGGACAACTGCAAAAGATATCCGAATGAGTCAAAGTCGGAATGAAAAGAACTTGTTCCAAATCAATTGAAATGGTATTATCTTCACTATCAATATTTTGTGTAAAGCGGCCCTTACACCATCAATAGTAATGACAATATCAGTATTGACAATACAACCATCAATCCTCGTGGCAACCAGTCTCAATACTTCACTACCTTACACGATCAATATTATTGTCAATAAGTTTGCTCAATAAGTTACCTTTAGGGTGAATCTCCGTAGTTTTACTCGGTTATTTACCGATTTCTTCTTTCCAAATAAGGATAATCGTACAAAAGCTTGCGTAGCTATTATTTTGGCGCTTGGAACAAACACTGGAGGAAAGAATGGTTGAAGATGAGAGATGAATATTTATCTTAATATTTATCTTATCTAGTACTGTTGACAAATATCGACCTCTGCGAGGTTGATGATTTCAAGAACTACTTTTGAATGGATGAAAGTTCCTTTAACAAACTGTTACAGATGATTAAACCATTTTTGAAAAGACAGGATAGCAATATGAGAGAAAGTACAAGTGTTAGGGAAAGATTGGCCTTAACCCTGAGGTACTTGGCCACAGGAAGAAATTTTGAAGACTTGAACTTTTCTGTTATAATGTCCCAAGCAACTATCAGCAAAGCTGTAATAGAAACCTGTGAAACTTTTATATATGTCCTACAAGACATGAACCAACTGGATGAACCAACAGTATCTTCATCGTGTTGAATGTCAACAACGTCAGTTAATCGGTCGGTCATTTTCACCACTTCTTCATAGGCGCCCGGCTTGAACTGAACTGAGTGTAATGTAGAAAATAAGAATTAAACCTGTCTTCAAATCATCTGGGTTAACCCTTTAACGGTTAGTGGCTTCTATAGAGACCACTTATCAATAAGGTCAAATAGCTGCATTACCACAAGTAAATCGTTTCTAAAAACAAATAAATAATTTGCCCGTTAAAGGGTTAAAATAACATATGTTTTTCAGTGTGTTGATAAACATGTTTTGTTATTGTTACAATTAGAAGTAACAATAATAGTGAGTATTGATGGAAATATTGGTGCCAACCCTACACGGTCAATAGTATTGTCAATATCCCCTCCAATTTTCAGTAGTGATGCCCGAAAATTAGAAAATCCGAATTTTTATCAATACTCCATCAATATTTAGCGTCAATAAAATGTTCCACCTGACACTGTCAATATGCTAAGGTATTGTCAATATTATTGATCGTGTAAGGGTCGCTTAAAGCAAACAAAACAGCAAAGTAAATCAAGAAATTTCTGATCTATTCGGTGTCCTTTCTCTACAAAGAAATCGACGAATCGCTGAGGGAAACATAACCCTTGCTACATTGTTTAAACTGTCTGGTTGTGGTTGGACTCTAGGGGCATACGATAAATCGTTGGACGAATGAGAGATAAAAACCATGTAAAAACTTCTAACTTGCATTTATTTATATAAAAGTCGTACTAGTTTCGGGTTACCCCATCATCAGCGACAAAGTCAATGAAGCTATAATAGGTAGGTGTAGACTGGAAATCAAATGACAGTAAAGCATTTTGCTATCTGATGGATAAACAAAATGAAGATAAAAGATGAAATAGGAATGGCGACGTTAAAAAGTGTGGAATGTTAAAAATTAGAAAATCGAGTAAATCTTTAAGAAGATGTGTTGGTGGGATGAGATGAGGCGAGACTGCCCTGAATGAGAGATAGTTGGCAAGGTGAAACTCAACCTGTAGACAAATGTGTTTATGATTGTTATACATATAATCAGTCTGTACCATTCTAGCCTCTTTGTTCATAACGTTTCAGTTTTGGAACGAGATTTCTTCTAATTGCCCAATATTGTAACCAATTTAATCATTCATATGTAATTACTTTAGTTTTTATTACACCATCAGCAAACATGTTAGCGTTTGAAAGAATCTGAGATCCAATATTTTAATTTTCTTACTAGCGCTAGGATGGACAAGCGCATTATTTAATAACCCTCACAGTACCTTCGTATTTCTCTTAAATTTTGATACTTCCATTTAGCAAATTTTTACATTAACGTTTACGTGTTGCTTTCTTTACTCTCAGTTGTTCAAATTTTATTAAAACACTATGAATTGCTATTTTTTAAAAGCCTAAAAACTACTCACATGGCCAATAAGCGATTTAGATTAAGATATTAATAAATAATATTGCAAATTTAAAGCGATGGTTGTTTTTACAACATAATATTGTCACAACACAATAATCGCCTGGTAAAAACGGTTATAATAAAATAATAACAAGAGAGGTAATTCCTGTATATAAGTAAGGATTTGCAGCAATATTAGATATTTGAAAAAATTTAGAAGAATGAATTGTAAGGAACATAACACAATATGACCAAAACAGGTAGCGCCTAAAAAATTACGCAGTAATCTATTTTACGAAGTATTAAGATAAGATAGCCTAAAACAACAACTTTTTTTTCTGTGAGTGGGATTCCATAATGGTCGGAATGGTCTAATTTCGGCTATAATGTTGTTTTACTTCGCACAAAAAACATGTAGAACTTTTATAATCTGTTATCAGTCATTCTTGTCTTCCTTACAATAAAGTGTTTGGTTAAATAGAAAAGAAAGTTGTGCTAGCATGTACCAATGTAAAATATTTAATATTGTTAAGCATAATTGATTCGGTTATGAATATCAATATTATTAAGGAATATTCAGAATTATTATTCAGTACTGAAGATGGGAGAATATTTAGTCTTTGATTGTAAATGTGAGGATCTTGGCATTTTCGTATTCAATATAAACTAATGATCTTTTTAAAAGACAATTACTTTGTTGAATAGTTTTCTTGCTAAGGACATTTGCCAGAAAATTAGCCAAATTAAAATGCAAGCGTTGAGAGTCGGCTGCTGTTTAACAGCGACAAAATAAAAAGTTCTCATCTTTGGTAATGAACCACTTTGATTCGGAATGGGACAGTAATGAGCGCCTTTGTTTCTTTAGAAATGCTTTTAGAAAAACTGCAGCAATTCAGATAATAACCTATTATCTTTAGAAATAGTATCATTATTTCGTCAAATTAAAAACACCGTTCTTTTCTGAATTTAATTTTAGACAATTCACTGTTTTGTTACCAAGCTATTACAAGGCTAGGACGTTTAAAGTTAAGTTTTGTGGAACAACCAGTTAAAGTTATAATAAATAAGAACCGATAGTTTGCGAAGTGAGAACAAGTTACTGTTAAGCTCTTGTTTTACTTTTCAAGACATCAAATGAACGATATCATCTAATATCGTCGAGATCGCTTGCGGACTATCTATCTTTATGTTGATATAATGGAAATTCAGCACCTGGCCTGCAAGCAACCTGGTCGAAGTGAGAACAGATTCAAGTATTGTGCGCTTGGTTTACTTTCCAAGACATCAAATTAACGATTTCATCTAATATCGCCGAAGTTGCTTACGGACCAGGCGCTGGATGTGCATTACATTGAATTACATAAACATAGAGCATGTATAAACTATCGGTTCCAGCTCCTCGCCTGGAAGCGACCTCGTACAGAACTAAATAAAATATGTACCTCTTCTTGCCAAATATGTTTAAATGTTGTGTGTAAACCTCATTTATATGAGAAAATCCGCTGCAGTAAGTGTTATAATTGCAGGCAGAATTGTAACTTATAGAGGATTAAAAGGTATTCTATAATTTCCTAACATTTTTTTTTTGTTTCCGGTGCTCAGATCATTGAGCCAGTTCTTGATCATCATCAGCCAGTTCTTTATGACGCCACAGTTTGATTGGGTTGCGTCAGGCCTCTTCTCTGCATGTAAAGTTGGCAGCTTACATTATATTACAGGTGGACCTACAGTTTATAGTGGATTCCAAACCAGAGATGTTTCTGCTTTAAAACCCCACGCTGGCAAGGCGGGTTGGAGAGTTGAGGAGCGCACCGCAAATTTCCGGAATTAACAAATGTTCCTAATAAATACGTTGAAAACTTAACTTATAAAACGCCAATGTACTTGGGTTGCTCGCTATCGCTCATCCCAACAAGTGTGTTAAAAAGCTTGTGGTCACCTGAACTAATATGCTTCTCTAGTTGCTCAATTCGAATCATCAAAAACCTATGAATTCATGGAAAAAAAACTGAACGATTTCTGAAATAAGTTATAATCAGGGACTTACCTCTAAATTACATCCAGATCGTCGCAAATCCAGACTGTTGTGGTAAAGACATTTATTATTGCAGCCTTTATTTTTAACATAAAGCCGGTAATCATCAGTAATTTTCTTCGTTCGGTGTTTCTTTTGATCATTCTTGTGATAATTAGCTTCAAAGTCGATGATCTGAAATGTTGTTTAGTAGAAAAACAAAGAGTAATTTATTAATATTTCTTTTCGTTCTTATTATAGTTAACTTTAATGTTTGATGTTCACAATTTGGATTTCTTTTATATGTATTTAGAAATGATAGCACAAAAACATTAAAGCAGATTTATCAAATTTTTACCCTGCATATTTAGAGCAAATATTATTTAATTAAATACATTTAAATTTATCATTTTAAAGGAAAGTATGGATGTAAATTCTAAATATGTTTAAAGGTTGAAATTAAATAATGTTAAAATAAAACGAAAAAAATAATTAAACAATAGAAGTATAATTTTATTTGGAATATACTTCAAAATACTTCCACCCAATAATGTACATACGTGATTAATGTAATCAGTATTAAACAAATCGTTATAATATTAATCACATGTGCAACATGACTTATTTTTAAAAGGTTATTTAAATAAACAGTAAGTAATAAATAGAAAAAAGTGATTAGAAGTAAAAAAAGAAAACCTTATTGGTAGTAATAAAAAAAAACCAATGAATAAAATTGATAAAGTATTCAAAAGATACTTTCTTTTAAACACAATTCCCGCGGATTTTAGCGAGCTTAACGATCAGTTCTTAAGTTAGCAAAATACACAAGTCACGAAGATCTTGTTTACAACAAAGTTACACAGCCTAATAGTACATTATAATATTGCAAAATATATTATAGCGTTATCCCTCAAAAAAAGAATGTTATTTTTTGAAATGTCTCTTTTAGTACCTACCTTAAGGTTAAACCGAGAAAAAACAAAAAAAGAAAACGGTATGAAAAGTATCAAAATCAATTGTTTACAAATTACAATAATATTGTTAATTTTTGTTTCAATCAATAACATGAACATGAAAATACAAGATCGAGAATGATACAAAGATTTATTAAAATACTATTTGCCCAATAACAGTGCCAAACAGCGGATGTAAAATATGCAATAGGCTTTTTAACATTAAACAATATTAAATATATTTTTTTAATTCTTTATATAGAGTAATAATAAATTATATTCTATACTTGGATAATGCGGTTAGAATTGAAAAAAATTCATTATGCATGAATAGAATTATAATTTATTATTTACATAGATTTACTTATTAATAGTAATAAGTGATAAGCGGTATATATATTTATTTAAAAAAAATAATAGGAATAAATGTTAAAAATTTCGCTAAAAGATAATAAAAAATATCAAATATGCTGTTTGTAGTAAATTACACCCAGAAAATTTTATAAAATTATTCTTTATGATAAAAAGATACAAGTGAACTTTATAAAAAAAAAGATTTAAATAGTTCAAACTTCAACTTGTATTATATAAATTAATTTAACAGTATTCAAATTCTAATTAATTAAAAAAAAAGCACAAATATTTACAATAATTAACTTTTTTAAGATAACATTAATTTAAAATAAAGTAATAATCAAAAACGAAGGATAGTCAAAAACAAGATCATATTATTGATATTTAATTAATTAAAATTTTTTTACACACATGCATTTTCAAACAAATGCACAGACAAACAGTAAATGTCCCATATATATGTATATACTTTATACATCAACTGATAATATTGATTTACCAATCACACACAGTATGATTAACATTAAGAGAGATGACAACACGTAGAGCTGCCCGACCTAATAAACATCATTTCTCGGCGATGTATAACATTTGTCCCAATGATTCCAATAAAACTGGAAATAACGGTATTTTTGTTCTATTCGTCGTATCTTGATCGCTTAAAAATCCACACCAGAACTCCTTTTTTAAACATTTTGTTCCGACGCGAGAACCGCTTTTTGCAGAACTGATAACCAGTAAGCTTAGTATAGTTTTAAATTAATAAAAACAAACTTCAAAGTAAACCAAACGACCAAAAAGAGTGTATAAATAAATTGAATATAAGAATTAAAATTATAAATATACATACATAGTACATAAACGATTAAAAAAAATGGTTGTCAAAAACTATTTGAAAAGCCATCAGTTCTTAGTTTTGACATGTTAAAAAAATATTTTTTATGTATGTGTATTACTATTATTAAAAAGGAAAAACCCATTGGGTTTAAGTTTATTTATTAGAGTCATCCTCGCTGCTCCAACGTTTCTCCTGTTCTTCAATTTCTTCTTGCAACCTCAACTCTAATTCTCTCATATCATTCGCTATATCATCTTCATATGTTGCGTCTTCAGTATTTATTGGTGTATTTCCATTTACCAAAGACGAAACCAGCCGATTCTAATAATAAATTAGTTAAAATATTATAGATTCTTCTTCTTTAAATTGTATACTAATTTTGTGTTAATTTTCATGTAGTGAAATATAATAAATTATTTTTTAACTTACCAAACACACTTCTTTCTGTTTCTCCTGGATACCTTGTTCAATCAACTGCAATTCCTGTTTCAAACGTTCTCCTTCATTGATCGTTGTAACTCCTTGCGTGACTAATTTTAGGTCATTCAACTGTTTTTCTAAGTTTCGTAGTTGGAGTTTAACACGTTGAGCCTCCGCAAGAAGTTCTTTTGACGGATCGTGCATTCTTTGCAGGAGAAATTGTGGAGCTTGACCTAACATAATATGATCACATATACTTCAAAATTCAATTATTGTTAAAATATCTTACTAATGATGTATCCATCTCCAACACCACTTCCACCAACTAATGGATGACCTTGTGGAAGTCCAGAAAATTGCGGATTATTAAAGTAATAAGGTGTTAATGAGTTCTCAGAAGTTACAGCTTTTCTTAACTATAATAAAGAAAATAATAAATAATAAAACTAGAGCTAACACTAGCACTAGAACTAGAAACATTTGGGTTTAGCTGTGCGTCTTTTAAGACAGCTAAACCTGAATGTTTCTAGTTCTAGTGTTAGTTCTAGTTTTAGTACAATGAAAAATATACAACAATCTAACGCTGAAGAACAACTAAAACTAGAACTAACACTAGTATTAGAACTAACACTAGACCTAGAACATTCGGGTTTAGCCATCTTAAGAGACGTACGACAACACAGTACCCTGAGTTTATCTATTAACATGGAATAGAGCAAGTTGGGGAACAAGCCCAGCCTACCTATGAGCGCTAACATATATATTTAAATATCTTGATGTATTAAATAAATAATATGACTCAAAAATATTTTATCCATTATTATCGATTTTACTATAATTCTAATAATTAACATCAACTTACCAATGATGTTGCACCATCCTTATAACCAGTACTTTGTCCATTATCTTTATGCATCCGCGAGATAGGTCCGTATTTGCTAACCCCAGGTGCTTCAACAGGAACATAATCATCATCGGCCAAAATGGAATCAGATCGAACAAATGTTGGACCGGTGTTAACATGCGTCCAAAATGTATAAGGCGAAGTGGGACTATCCAAATCCGATTCTTGTCTCGCAAGATTTGTGGCGGTATTAGAAATAACGGTTGTTGCACTTTTACCAAAAATATTCTCCAATTGAGAAATAACCTCTTGTTTTCTTTGATGGAGTTCCGCGAGAGTCTTTGTGGATCCTCTATTTTTTTGAACATTGGATGCATTTTGACTTTTTGCTATCAACTCCCAGTTTTGTCTTTGTTTTGTAAGATCATTGTTAGAAACGGCGTTATTTCCGAAATCGGCTGATTGAAAAAAAGACGCACCGTTTGTAACAACCATATTATGTGGGTTTGAGCCGTAAATATCTGGAGGAAAATTTGTGGGGGTTGTCGTATAAATGGGTGGATTTGGGAAAGGAGCTCCATTTGGGTATGGTGCGTTTGCTGGAAAGTTTGGATTAAAAGGAACTTCGTAACCGATTCTAGAAATTGGTACAACAGCTGGAATTTGTACTGGATTCACAGTTGGAGATGACAAAGGATAAAATTCGTCTTGAGATGGAAACGATTTTTCATTCGGAGAATGATTCTCAATCCTATGATCTTTATTTCTGATGATAACTTTCCTATTTTTTGCCCTATATTTTTCCAACTCCTCATTTGAATGTGCGAATGTACAATTTGTCCCTCTTGGACAACTTCCCCGCAAAGTTAAATCTCTACACATACTTATCTTGTACTTTGCATGTTGTGGATGAGCCGGATCTTGAAGCTTTCGACTTCCATGTTTATGGATAAACTCCACTAAACCAGCCACAACTTGTTTTACAGCCTCCAAAGCCTCACTACATTCCTTCCAAGGTGGCGTGGTAGATTCTGGACTTGGATCAATAGCCGCGAGTAATTCCAAATGCGGCCTTAAAACAGAAAGCTTTCCAGGATCACCAGTTCTTTGCAACGCAATAACCAATTCTTGTACTGACTGAGCAAACGATTGTGGCGTTTGCAACTTATCAATAATACTTTGCATATGCGATTTATGAGCCGTATCTCCATAAAGAAGTGCCGACCATTGATCCGGGGCTATTCTCAATCCAGCTTCAGTAGCGATTTGAACGATTTGTGCGTCATGTTCTCGTCTCAAAGCTTCATAAGTTCGAAATTCCTCTTTTAATTGCATCAGAGAAGAATCTCCTTCACGTTTTGAGACTTTGAAGCATGATGCTCTGTAGAGTAATTGCACCACATGGCCTATACTCGTTTTGGAAGCTTGAGGGAAGTGTGGTTCTAGTCTTTGTACAACGAACATTACTAGAACTTTTCGAGATAATGCTGAACCATCTTCTAATGCCAGTAGAACTAACTTTAACACTTCTTCTTGCATCGCTACGAAAAACAGTTTAATTTAATATAAGGAATTAGTATGTTTATTACTAAAGATTAAGACTTAAAAATCGTAAGTTTAAACTTAATAATTTGTTATAGGGTATTTGATGATATTGAGTGTCACAATAGATAATTATAATGATTATACACAATATATACAATAAAAATACAAATGTTACAACAGTTCATTTACTGTTTCTTTTTCTTTTCAGGAATCTTTCGGGCGAAATTAATGATAATAAATAGAGGCAATACTCTAATACAGGAAAATATTGTAGGTGAACTAGAAGAAATCACATAATTCATATACCTAGGCACACTTTTATGCAATCAGTGAAAATGCGAAAAAGAAATTAGAAGACGAGTACCCATAGCTAAAGTTACCATGACCAACATGACAAAGATATGAAAAGATCAACAAATCATAAAAAGGACAAAAGTAGAACTAGTTAGAAGGCTTATATTCGCGACCTTCCTAAACGGTGTAGAATCTTGGACTATCAAAGAACCTGAGAGAAAAAAAGTTGAGACTTTCGAAATGTTTAGCACTAAGATATCTATACTGAAAGAGGTCAAAATCAAAGACAGATTGTCCACTATTTTCCAGCAACCAATCCTACAATATTTTGGGCATATAATCAGAAAGGATAGAGATAAACTGGAAAAATCAATAGTCCAAGGAAAAGCAGAAGACAGAAGAACAAGGGGATGATCGCCAACTAGGTGGCTGGACCAGGTAAAAGAGATAACAGATACTCCGCTTCAAGGACCACTTCTGGAGGCACAAGACTGTCAGTTATAGAGGAATCGACATATGTGATTACGACGCAACAATCGTCACAGTTGTGTGTACTGAGCACCTCCATGTAAACTTAAATGTAGAGATAAATGTTCTTGGTATAACAGTATGGGTTGGAGTTCATATCGTTGGCACGTATTTCTTTGTTGGAACGGTGAATGCAGAAAAGTATTTGGAACTGTTCATGGATTTAAAGGGAAAACTTGCAAATAATCCGCAGTTAGCAGGTTTTCGATATTTCTATCCATTACATTTCGTGCTTTCCTCAATAAAGAGTTTGGTAATCGCAATTCTTTCTCTAAACCTGCAGGTCCATGCTCAAGCGATGCCAATTACGTATTGATGAAGGTGGTATATAGTTTGAACACAAAATGTATCACATAAACTAAAGTTTTGTTTAACAATGAATTAGGTGTTTTCATTCAATTCCTTTTGCCGCGAGCTGTAAATGTTAATCAAAATAACAAATACAATTTTGATTTTAAAATTGAAGATCTAAAATGCCTTTTGGGAATTTTGCTGTTATGTGCTTATCACCAACTACTCACGGAGAGGGCTCACTGGATAGTAGATAACGACCTTCGCGTTCCGATTCATGGATCAATCTGTTAGCCTGTATAGAGTGCCCATTAGAGAAAATAAGTGGTGGTGACCAATCTTTACATACATTCTTTACATCCGCCATAGTTGATCGAAAGACAACGGTCAGAATCCTCAACGTTTGACAAACCAATTGCGGTGTGTAGTTTGTCACTCTAAGTGGCGCTGGAGATGTGAATTGTCCACAAAAACACTTTGAGCTGGACGCAAGTGCTTTACTCAATTTTATACTTAAACTGCCCATTGTCCTAATGTGACGGCACTCCTTTCAATTGACCAACCACGTACCCAATTCGTACTTTTTGTTACAATTTCGGTGTACTCCACTTAAAATATCGTCAAATGGCTTTGGATCCTCGTTACTTGGATGATTTTGCGTAAATTTACCAGTTTATTTAAAAATATGTCAGGCAAAAATGTTGAAAAGTTGACTAGCCTGATGATGACCACCCATATACATATTTTATGTAGAAAGGACGAGAAAGAAAAACACCTTAATACAAAAACACGATTGATTTATACATAATATATGTTAGAAATAATATAAGTCTTTTACATAAATACGGCTTTCGAGTTTTTATTCCTTTTCGTAACATAATATGTTACTTTTATTTACCGTTTTACACTGTTCATTGCAGCTTGATGTTTTTCTTCGCTTCCGAATTTCCGTATTACTACATATATAGGGGTGTTTCTGTAAGTTGTGGCATACTTTTAATCACAAGTACTAGAGTGAAAATGATGACGATTCGTGTAATAATTTTTGATCTAAACCTATAAATGGCTAAGATATGGCGATGGAGATATGCCTTCAGACTTAAGAAATTTTCAAACATTTTCAATATGGTTTGTCTTAAAATGACTAAATATGGAAAACAGTGCAATGTTATCATAAGAAATCGCTTAAATTTCCAATTGATTCTAAAATTATTTTCACTCTTAGAAATTTTTGATTAGACGATATTAATTTTAGATATTTGCAAAAAGATACAACCTCGATTTTGCAATGTTTTCATTAATCGTAGATGCTTATGAAATCGAATTGTAAGTAAAGACTACCTGATAGATAAACATTTCTAAATATTGGAAGACATTTACGTGAGACAGGAAATTTAAGACTAGAAGAAAACATTTTAGATTTTGTGGTAGCAACAGTTTAGACATTTCAGAATATCCAAAGGTATGTCTTGGCATGTCCTACGTGAACAGCAATTGTATCCATATCATTTGTCGAGATTACAAGAATTAAAAATTGCAAAAATCACCCGTTACAAGTACAGTGTTGCCATACTATCATGGAAAAATGATGGATAAATGCTGCGTTTTTAGAAAAAAAAACTTTTTACAGATAACTATTAATTTGAGAAATGCTGAAGAATAATTGTACTGAAGAAAATCCAGATTTTATGCTACGTTGAGTAATAATTTGATAGATTTCTTTTAAACCAACTTGAATCTTTTTGTGAATAACTCGAAAACGAAAAAAAAAAAATCGAAAATGAAATAGGCTTTTAAAAGTAGTTGGAAAAATTTAATGGTTTACGACATAATAAAAAATTAAATAAAATTCGTTTTTACACTTAAATGGATTTTTATTTAAATTTTTCTCTCAACCGGTTTCGTTAAATATTTACAGCATCTTCAGGAGATTACTACACAAAGAATTTTGTTGAATTATGAAAAATCAACTTTGTTGTCAAAGGATGATCTTGGATGACACATTAATTCTTAACACAATTTTGAATCCTCTTCCATCATAATTCAACAAAATTCTCTGTGTAGTTCAATAGTACAAATATAAAAAGAATCAAATCATCAAATGACTCATTCTATAGGACACTTTTGTAACAAAATGACGTAATCTCCTGAAGATGCTGTAAGTAAATATATAGCGAAACCGGTTGAGAAAAATTTAAATAAAAATCCATTTAAGTGCAAAAACGAATTTTATTTATTAGACATAAAATGGAAAGAAAATCATCAAACAATAATAATAAAAAAGTTTTAAGGAAATAACCTTTGTGAATACCCTGTATAGCATTGATCCATTATTTGCAAACCATATTGAAATTATTTAAGAAAATGTTTAAAAATTTCTTAACTTTGATGGCTATATCATAGCCATTTATGGATTTAGACCAACAATGTTACAGAAACATCCTGTATAACAGCCATAAATTACTTTTTTCCCTGTTTTATCTCTTTAGGGAACTCAAGTAGTGTACATTCGAAGCATACATTTGATGTCAGTCTTAGAGGAAAAGTGTCGCGTTATATATTATTATTTGTCAAATAAATTAGGTAGTCAGCGAGAGCTGCAATGTCCAGAATATTTGTTGTAGAATAATTCGAGAGGCCATCTATCTGTTTTTCTCTGTACAGTATACAGTCCACGTAAGTGGTCCATTACATCTACGCCTAATCTTGTTTTATTACAAAATGTATAATTTTTGGTTTTCCTTTTTCTCCAGACGTTACGATGGTATGATGCATTGTTGTTAAGGTTTTACTTCTTTTTTACAATTTGTTACGTAATTTTGTAATCCTTACAGTGTAGAAAATACTTGACGTAAATTAGATGGTGCCATTTCTTGAGGGATATAAACTTTGTTCTTTTTCAACGTTCCCACTATCGTCAAATTCCATGATAATAGCTGTTTTGCAAGTAGCAGAGTCGTAATAAATTATCGTGATGTTTTGTCCAGATCCTTTGTATGGAGCGACCAATTCTTTTACTACTCTTTCATCTTTATTTATTTCCCGACCTGTAGATGACTTTCTAGTATAATTCTGTCCAGTGAGCTGATAATAGTTTTTAGTTTTTTCATCACATATCCACCAAATTCTTATTCCGTATTTAGCAGGACTATCTTCTTCTTCTTAAGGTGCCGTCTCTGATTCGGAGATTGGCAATTATCAGGGCAAGTTTAACTTTTGAGATCACGGATCTAAATAGTTCGTTACTGGTGCAGCCAAATCATTCCTGAAGGTTCTTCAACCAGGAGTCTTTTTCCTATGGACCTCTTTCACAGAATTTTTCTTTGCATAATGATTTTAAAAAGTTGGTATTTTTCTCCTCGCATGAAATCTTTGACATTCGTCGGTATATCCATATCTCAATGCCACCAGTCTTCTCACATCAATCGCCTTAAGTGTCCACGTTTCTACCGCAAAGAACAGTACTGATAGCATGTAGCACCTCATCATTCTCAGTTCTCCTTTTGTATTTTCGAAGTTTTCAAGATTGATTAGCCGTCTCTCATCTTTAAAAAGTTGCTCAACATAATTCTTCCCTAATTCTATTTTCTGTTCTATTTTCGTGATTATTCTACCGTCGTTGTTACGCTTACTGGTACCAGCAAGCTCTTTGGTATTTTTGTGTATATTGAAACTGTCGTTCGTAGCATGACTATATGCAAGTTAAAACATGTTTTGGCAGGCAAGAGAGGGGATGGGAGACCGAAACGGCCGCGAATACTATTGTTCGAAAACGCGGAAATTCAGAAAGGGAATACGTTTATAGAACTTTCTTACCTGCAACCTAAGAAATATTATAATGGGTACCAGGGTACCCCGTTTGGTCAGAACTTTTGGTTGCGCAACCAATTGAGGGTTAATAAATAAATAACAGTAAAAATACATTTTTACAGCTAATTTTGATTTGAACGTTAATTAGTTAAAAATTTCAAACTTAACATTAAATAAAAATTAGTATAATAACTGGATTGTTCCTTGAGTTAATAATCAGTTTTTAAACAAAAATATTAACAATATTGACAAAAAAAAGTATTTTTTAGATCAAATTAAAATAATAACACCTAAATAATCAATGAGATTGTAAAATAACACTGATGTTATTAAAATAAAACTGTGACTTAATTAACGTTTTGAGTGTTATGTTTCCACCACTAGAATCATATTTCAAACATATAATTTAATCTCGAATTTAATATTTTTGTATATATTACCAAAACAATTTGTTCCTAGAAATATTATTTAATAAACCACAAGAAAACAACAAAAAATTTAAATGAAATTGATAAGATATTTTAGTTTCCACTGAATAAACACCTTATCAAACTTTGTTATCATGTAAAAACCACGAAAATGTCTATTGTGACCCACTTAATATTGATGTCTACAAGTAAGGTTACTAAAAAAACAAATTGATAACTATTTGAGACATAAAAATAACAGAGGATTAAAATTAACAATATTATATAAATTAAAGTAATATTTATATAGTTAAATATCTAGATAAAAATATAATTACCTGGGCCTAAAAATTGACATCCTCTCGCTCTAACAGCTGCCCATAAATTGGCACTAAGCTGTTGTGGATTTTGATGTTGTAAAATAAGTTCTGTAACAGTTCTTTCCCCCAATGATCGTGCGGCTCGCATAGCTCTGGTTCTTCCTTCATCCTCAACAAGTTGGCAATTAATTAATGTCACCAATTTTCTTTGCATGGGTCTTGATAAAATGCTAGTACTGCTACATACATTTCCATTTGAGTAAGGTTTGAGGTACATAGCCAGTTCCTCGATACATTTTTTTGAAGACTGATAAAATTCCACATTTTCTTGGGAAACAATTTTAGTATCGACCGTGTCATTGTCTGTCTTAATGCTTGTACTGACCAGTTGTAAAAGAGCTGTATTAACTGGTAAACTATCAATTTCTATGCTTATCGCAGTTTGGTCGAAGGGGCATTGTTTTCTGTGTAAGTTTGATAGACAGGTTTTACATATTGTGTGTCCACATCCTAAGCTTATGGGGCTACGTAGTGACACATCAAATTCATTGAAGCAAACGGGACACGATAGGAATTCCGTCCACTGTGGAGCCTGTATTGGCATTCTAATTGAAAAGAAAATAAAATGCTATATAAAATTAACATTCCATATTGTTACTGATTAAATGATCAAATATAAAACAATACGCAAATTTTAGCAGCTGTCAAAATCAGATGACATGTCCAGGTGGCAAATATTAAACGTAATTTAGAGTATGTTTTTAGATATAACATGGTTTATTTTAATTTTTACTAATTTATCATGATATTTCGCAATAATTAATTATGATTTACATACCTTGCGCTTTGTAAAACACATCACATTATGAAGTACTTTACGATTCACAACATTGTTGTGAAATCTAGAAATGTCAAATCTGATGAGGTGAGCGCACTCCAGCTGCATATTACATACGTTTCATTTCCCCAACTTGGCGTAAACTTCAAATTGATTCAAGTTTAGAAATTTTTTTATATGAATTTTGATTTATTTTAATTATACAATTACGTTTTTAGTTTATATATTTCTTAATTGTAGTTTTCTTTAAAAGGAAATTGTATTTCGAATTTATTCATTATTCATACTTGTCAAGTTGATTCGATAACAAATTTTTAGGTTAGAATTTCTAACCTACAAATAATTAAAGTCAAATATAACGAAATGAGTTCACAATTAATTCAAAATAAAGTAAAAGAATACGAATCGTTTATAGAAGATGTTTTAAAGAAAGACCTTAAAGATATAGAAGTAAAACTAAGTAAATCTGTTGGTAAACATGGAGAATGGGAAGAGTTACAAACCACAATAGCCCTTTTACGGAGGTTTAAAGATAGAGAATTAAATCTTTTAGTGCCTTTAGATTGTGGAGTGAGTGTAAACGCGGAAACGGATGATTATAATAGACTCTTAGTAAATATTGGTGCTGGGTGCTTCTTAGAACTTGATTATGATGAAGCTCATAAATATGCTGATATACGATTAAGGATAGTTAAGAAAGAAATTGATCATTATAGGGATTTAGCTGCTAAAGTAAAAGCTAAAATTAAAATTACTTTGTTAGCTATAGATCAATTAAGTAATGGAAGTATTAAGTAATGGAAGTATTAAGTAATTTATCTTCAAATACTTTGCTATTTTTGTAAATAAATAACATAATAAGTTTATTTTGTGTGATCATTTATTATAATTTTCATACAATAATATTGGTTGAAACATTTATTTAATGTATTTATTCTTACAATTATTATTATAAAAGGAGATTTTCTGTACCATAAAAAATCTGATAGAGAAAGATAACATAACAATTTCTTTATTATTTTAATTAATATTTATTTATATTCTATTTTTTAATTCGGAGGAGTAAAATGAAAAGTCACATTTACACACAAAATGTAATTTTTCAAAGCTTTTTTTTGGCGGGAGTTTTAAAACAAGACAGGATTTTAAGTAAACTGTAGTTACGAATTTAATTACTTATTTGTTTAAACATAATACCTATTTACGTTGTCCCATATAAAATGCAACATGTCAATAGTTTAGCTGAACTTCTCTTAAGACGGCTGGTAGCGTTAGTTAGCATAAAATATCACTATGTTTCATATTTTTATTGAACTAGAACTAAAAAGTAGGCTGAAGATGCGCGGCTAAACCCGAATGTTTCTAGTTTTCGCTCTAATATTAGTTCTAGTTTTACACTAGCACTATTGCTAGAATTAGCACAAAACCTAGAACTAGAATCATTCAGGTTTAGCCGTCTTGAGAGACGTGCGGCTATCCCGAAAGTTTCTAGTTCTCGGTCTAGTACTAGCTCTAGTTTTACACTATCACTAGAACTAGCACAAGACCTAGAACTAGAATCATTCGAAAATTAAAACAATTCATTCACTTGCAACATGGATAACTGGTTAGAATCATTCGGGTTTAGCCTTCTTGAGAGACGCACGGCTAAACCCGAAACTTTCTAGTTCTAGGTCTAGTGTTAGTTCTGGTTTTACACTAGCACCATCACTAGAACTAACACAAGACTTAGAACTAGAATCATTCGGGTTTAGCCGTCTTGAGAGACGTGCGGCTAAACGCGAATGTTTCTAGTTCTCGGTCTAGCGTTAGTTCTAGTTTTACATTAGCACTATTACTAGAACGAACACAAGACCTAGAACTAGAATCATTCGGGTTTAGCCATAATAGAATGTTTCTAGGCGGCTGGCAACATCTCGAATTTTCCTAGTGTAATTTTGCTTAAAACTGACCAGCAACCCTTCTTTTTGACGCTTCAACTTGAAAACACTCCTCCGAATTAAAAAAATAGAGTATAAGAATTTTTGTTAGAGATTTCAATTAAAAACAAGTAACTCTAGAAATAAATTAATAGTATGTGGAAAATTGCTCAATTAAAAATTACTTTTTCTTGATTTCATCATCGATATTCTGCCATCGTTCAAGATTTTCTTTGCACATTTGCAACAACGGTTTAGTTTCCGGAATTAATGAATACAACAGATCATAACACGGCATACAAATCCCCATTAAAAATCCAACTTGAGATGAAGCTTGTTGGTCGGGTTGATACCTGTCCATCATCGGAATCGGTTTCCTTCCAGCTGCTCGTTCAGCGTCACCTTGTTGATAAAACTCCTCGAAAATAATCTTCACCGTTTCAACTTGAATGTTCCAAGGTTTTGCACTTGCCGATAAATCACTAGCAGTCATTGCAATTGCTTGAATGAGTAATCGATGCTCTTGGTTTGACCATGAAAACGATTGCTCCTGAACGATCTGGTTTAATTTTGCCTTATTTGGGAAAAATAGTGCTAAATCTGTTGCTAAAATACAATGTTTAATTAAACTTAGAACTTGTTTGTATTCACTACTAGAAAGTTTGCTGAAAATATTGTGCCCTTCCTACAGAAAAAAAAAATTAAAAAGAATCATTATATAGTAAGTCAACTAAATTATTTACTTGTTGTAGAATTGTGACAGTTTGATTAAAATGATGATGCTCCATAGTCGATGTAGAATAAATAGCAGCAAGTGGAGATTCCGTATCAAGCATAAATTTATTATTTTTTCCTCGATGATCTAAATCATGACATAGAGCCCCTATAAAAAGAGCTAGCGCCTAAAATACAAAGATTACAACAAAATAACCCAAAAACAAAAATTTATTTAACTTACTTCGTTTGGTCTAAACACATTATCAGAATGTTTAATAATACTATACATGCAATTAGCGACAGAAAATCCATGGGTCCAATTATGATACGGAACCCTTCTATAATTTTTTCTTACAGTTAAGGTAAATTTAAGTAAACTGCTTTTATCGAATCTCGTTAACCCAAAGAGATCGATAAACATATAAATAGATTGGCGAGCTTTTTCATAATCCTCAATTTCGAATGCGTTGAAATAATAATCATCAATTCCGATTACGTTCTCGGGAAGTCCTTCTTTTAAAGCCGTATAAAATTCGTCTTCGTTACAACTATTGTGGTAACTCAAAACTTCCAAAGCAACACGATATTTTTGCTCGGAACGGCGTATTTTATCGTAAAGTTTCGCGTGATGTAACGCCAAACCGCAATAAACAGCAAACATTTCGAAAGCTTCCTCGTCCTCTTTATTGAACATTCCGGTATGTTTATTTACCATTTGTACTACTCCGATTATCGATCCCCTTATATAAATCGGCATGCATAAAATAGTTTGTGTTTTGTAACCGGTTAATTGGTCAACAGTTCTATTGAACCGTTCGTCTGAATAAGCATCAGATATGTTTAGGATTTCCCCGGTCATTGCAACTTGGCCCGCTATTCCCGTTCCTAAGGGAAATCTTATTTCTTTTGATGTATGCATTCTTATGTTGTCATCATTTTCTTCGTCTAAACCATCGCGATGCGTTTCTACACCGACGTCGAAAATTGTTGCGTAAAGCTCTTTGTTTTTAGAATCGACTAAGAAAAGTGATGCTCGGTCTGCATCAACCAAACGTTGTGCGAAATTCATTATTTTCATTATTAACATATCCATACTGACCATATCTTGAAAAATTGACCTAGAATAAATTAGAAAAAAAAGTATATTTAAAGAAATGGTAAATATTTTAGGGTAATGATATGAGTAAAAATCATATACGACACAATTGCATAAATTTTATCAAATTAATTAAAATCCTTAATTAAGCATATTGACAATATGTTATAGGTATTTCTAGATATTTCTTAGATTTCTGCACAGTTTGCTATGAAAAAGATTATTGAAGACTTAACGATGAATTATTTATTCATAAGAAAAGCTTGCATAAATGCATTCGCAAGTTAAATGTTTATTGCTCATCTTTGTCACCAAATAAGTCAACTTGCTCTTCATAACTGCCACATGGAATTGTCTAAAATATGGTTCTCGTGGTGGCATGAATTTCCATCGAATGTTATTTTGACATTTTTATCTTTATAAAACTAGGTAAATATTTTGTGCATACAATACATTTTCTGACTGTGTCTTTTACAGGCACATTTAAAAAGATTGGCCAATATACTTGTTTTTCCACTAATTAAATATCGTGGACTAACTAAATATATTGAAAAATAAAAAGAAAAGCTATAGAATAATAAAAAGAAATTAAAAATTGATCCATTTATAGTATAAATAATACGAAACTTTATCAACGTAGCTGGCGTTTCGAGAAATTTTATAACCCTCCAAAAAGAAAAGGATAAGTGGAATTAAAATATGAACAGGAAGTAAAGTAATAAAAGAAGTTTCATTCAATCCCGAAGGAGTACTTAAAAAACCTCATTAAACCGTCAATTGCTGATTAAAAAATATGATAAAGTGATTGGATAATGAATAACCAAACTAGGTGAAAATGGCAAGGTAAAAAATCTACCCTTAATGACAAATAATAATAGATAAACAGACAAAATTAATCGATCTAACGTTAGGAATGCCTTGTACGGTTTTAGGGGGAGGAATGCTTGCCCCACATAAAAAGATAAAAAACTAAAAGACACAAAAATATTGTCACGTAGTTTAAGAGATAATTTCATAATAAAAATAATAATAGTTTATTTCTTAAATATACAAAACATGGTACATTCAATTCGTCAATAAAAAGAAAAAAAACAGAAAAGAAATACATGAAGTGGACTTCAAGTTCCTCTTCCTCTCCATCGGAAGAGGTAATACCCGGCATCTTACTTTCATAATATTCTTGAATTGAATAAATTTCACTTTCTATTAGGTGTTTCTTCACTTCTACTTTAAATTTCTTCTCGTTTAATTGTTTTGTTCTTGATGGTAGAGGATTATATAGTTTTATTGAAATATATTTGAAAGTATTTTGTGACTTCTGCACTCTGTGTAAGGGTACCAGTATATTGTTTCCATATAGTGTACTGTAGTTGTGAGAGTCTATATTTCTTTCCAATGTTTCTCTTTGCGCATGAACATATTGTAGACAAGAAAAAACAAAACAGGATGGTATTGTCTATATCTTCAATTCCTTAAAATAACCTCTGCAACTTTCTCTATAACCCAATTTTTTAAGTATTCTAATTGCTTTTTTTTTGCAATTTAAAAATCTCACCCGCTTCACTAGATGCGCCCCAGGTAAGTATGCCATATATCGCCATACTATGAAAGTACGCAAAATATACCTTCCTTATTTCTTCCTCCGGTAAACTTTTAGTTAACATTCTTAAACCATACAGTGCCGTTGCCAATTTTTTTTTCCATTTTTTTATGTGGTTTTGTTTTGTGAAGAAGGTAAGTATGTGTGTTTTTTCTCTGTTCAGTTGTAGATTATTTACTTCGATCCAATTTTTTGCATCATTTAATGTTATATTTGTTTTTTCTTTTAGGTCTTCTAAAAGACGTCTTTAGAACTATTTATGAATGAGGTGTCATCAGCATACAAACACATTGAGTCTGCCTTTATATTTTTTGGTAAATCGTTTAAATATAACAAGAATAAAACTGGTCCGAGCACGGAGCCCTGTGGTACTCCTGTTTCTACTGTTCTCCATTCTGAAATTGTTCCCTTCCAGTGTGTCTATTGTTGTCTTTCCTGCAGATATGAAGCAATAAGTTTTTTTCATTATCGTTTATGCCGTATTTTTCCATTTTATTCAGAAGAATTTGGTGATTCACTGAGTCAAAAGCTTTACTAAGGTCACAGAAAACTACTTGTGTATAATTTTGCGTATCAAAACCAGTTATTATACTTTGGATTACACTAAGCAGTGCTGATGTTGTTGATTTTTCTTTTTGATATGCATGTTGATATTGTGTTATTAGATTATTATCTTTTATGTGGTCCATGATCCTGTTTTTTATTGCAGTTTCGAAGACTTTGGATATTACGGGTATTATTGATATCGGTCTGTAATTACTTTTATTATTCGCGTCCCCTAGTTTATGAATTGGAGTTACTCAAACATATTTCAGCTAACATATCATCTCTTAAAGGTTTATCTCTTAACGTTTATTAATATAGTATAACGATCCAGTGTGAAGGTTCTTTTCTTTCACTTTTTTTTTTATTTTTACGTATCAAATAAGCATACAACTGTAAAAAAAAAACCTTTGCGAAGTTAGCTCTCAATTAGATAAGATTTTACATGTATAGTATTTTGATTATAACAAGAGAACCACTCAACCGATTTCGATAATCATTGTCTCATTCGAAAGCCTAATACGAACATTAATCCTTGGCCAATACGAATATGGAAATGTCCGATTCGAAATCTCTTTCGAATTCCGCTAAAACGCCAAAATATTGGAAAGGTACACGAAAATAACACAAAAATGACATTTCTCTGCTGGCTTTCAAGTGGTCATAACTCGTAAACGATGTACTCGATTATCAAGATCTATACGTCATTCGATTCGTCATAGTTTCTTCTATTGAAATCACAAAAAGCTTGATCTCGATTCTTTCCCGTTAACATTGTACAGCCCTCGGATTCACACCGTGTTCGGCTCTTTGTTTATGCACGTATGGACGCCTAAAAATCTAGCTCCCAATAACAAAAAATTAATTTGTATTAAATTGATTATAACTAGAGAAAGGTTTGACGGGTTTTAATGTTTCATATCTTAATCGAAAGCTTGCAGTTGTTGAAATGCTCGATTCGACATATTTAAGGATTTTGATTAAAACACTAAAAACTAACTAATCAAACACATCAATTATCTCCTTCATTAATTCATCAATTTTAGTCATCAACGTCTCGATCGAAAGTATGATCCACAATGAATGCGAAGGCGGAAATCCCCGATCTCAAAATTTACTAATTACCTACTTACGGTTATTTAAATGCCTCCACGTGTCTACCGACTGGAAGCCTAGCCTCCAATAAGAAAAAATTAATTTTGATTAAATTTGCTATAACTAAAGAACGGTTTGACCGATTTTAATGTTATATATCTCAAATGAAAGCTTGCGTCTGACTGAATAGTTATTCGGAATATTTAAGGATTTTGACTCCTTTATTCACTGACCAATTTTAGTCGTCAACATCTCCATCGAACGTATGATCCACGGTGAATGCGAAAATGGAAATGCCCGATCTGTAAACGGATTACTACTAGAGAACAAACTAATGTGAAAATGTTTGAAATATTCTACCAATCATAATAAAGTATGTAACCAAATTTACATTTATATTTGTACTAAAACAGAAAATCTTTTTTTAATTTTTGGTTTTAGTATTTCCACCTTTAATATAATTTATTGTTGTTCTTACTACTTTACTAGCCCTTTTTTTTTTATTTTATATTTTTAGTTGTACCGGGTATCCCGTTAAGGGTACGGAGCGGCTGTATCATAGCAACGATGTTTATAGAAAATAAGAAATTATGTACCTATTATATATAGTGTATTAAATCTTCATTAAATTTGCTTTAAAATGTTCTTTATTTCATGATGATACCTTTCGTTCTCCTAATTCGTTCTTGAGATACGATTTTTTTAAATTTATATTTCATGACACAAAAAATAAGGGATGATGCATAATCCAACGTATTGGCTGCTTCGTTTTAATTATTTGTTGGGCACCTGATTCTTTTGCAGGAAGTGTTAAACATTGAAATTCGATTAGTGTGTTTTATTTTAGTAAAATGACGTAAGTTTTATTTGAAATGTTTCGAGAAAACGAGTAATTTTTTATTGAAAGGTTGAGTTTTAAAACCAAAAAACGATTTAAAACCGCTTCGCCCCGTCATCCTTAAATTTTTTGTTTATTCACCTCCAGTATTCCTTCTTCACACAATAAATTAAGGAGGGGATATTTGGAAGTTGATTCGCTAATAACGCATTTTAGTTGACGTGCGGGCATTTAAGGGTGATAAAGTAGTTTTGAAAAATAATAGTTATTATTTGAATTAAGTGATAAATACGTGCTATATTTATGCTAAGTGTTAGGTGATGTTAGTGATGTGACATAGTTGGGATCTCGGATTGCTATTTTATGGATGTTAAAAGGTATCGTATTAATTCATTTTTTTTGTCACAATTAATTAATTTATCTTTTCTTTCCAGCTGAGCTTCGAAGTAAAATCCACGGGGAACAACATCCATTCGGTGAATCGTTTTCAATTTTATTAATTTACCAAAACATACCGGGATAATTCGTGATTTGAACGGTGTAATGCTGCCAGATAAAAACCATTTTAACGCTACTCATTGGGTTTGTGCTTGAAAAACGGTACCATTCAATAAATTTTTGCATTTTGTGCTTCAAAAATTATAAAACTTTAATTATTAACATTGTCAAAACATGAAATTAATTAGAAATTGACCACTCCAAATAATACTAGTATAATTTAATTCAAGTTTTTTAAGGGGGAATCTCTTTTTTTGTATCAAATAGAATGATTTCTTTGGGAATTTTTGGCTGCCAAATTATATAGTATTTCAATTTAATCTTTTGCATATGTTTTCATGATATATTTACTTATTTAAAAAGAATTGTTATAGAAAATAATCTTTACATTGTCTCTCAACCAAGTTGGTGCGTAGATTGTCTAACTTGCTGGTTGACACAATATCTATTCTTGAAATGATATGAAACTCAAAAATCAAATGATGTTCTTTTCTATATATTTGTGATTATCGTTTGAACTAGAACTAAGCAAAA